GTCAGTGGAGGGATTTCAGTTTGATATCCAATGAAGTCTTTTTTTTTTTTTCTTTTTGTACCAGGAATTGAACTCAGGACCTTGCACTTGCCAGGCAAGCGCTGTGCTACTGAACTATATCCCTGGCCTTGGCTTCTGTTTAATGAGCATTCGCACCTCTGTCCCACCAAACATTCAGTAACTGGAGGTCCTGGGTAGGTCATTGGGATCTCCTCCTGGTTTTGGCCTGATGGAGGGCCTTAGGATCTAAGGAATCAAATACCTGCAGGGAGCTTTGTGAAAAAGCTTTTCTGTCAGGTAGCTCTGTGTCACTTGTAGGTCAGGATTCTTTTTTTTTGGTTTTGGTTTTGGTTTTTCTCCGGTACCGGGAATCAAACTCATGACCTTGTGCTTGCCAGACAGGCGCTGCGCTGCTGAGCTAAATCCCCAGCCCCTAGGTCAGGATTCTTGAAGGTGACAGAAGATTAATCACAAAGTAGCTTAAGCAAAAATGGGAATATATAGGCTCAAGTAATTAAAAACTCCTGGAATTCATGGGCTTCAGGCATGGCTGGATCTAGGTGCCAATCAGTGCTTCTCCATCTGCTGCTTCTCTTTTCTCCTGGTTGAGTTCCTTTGAGGCTGTGTTCTCTCCTGTTGGCTAACTCCAGGAGTTATCATCCCAGAACTCTAACTTCAACAGAAAGAGGAACATCCAAACCCTTCCCTGAGTCAGACCCAGTAAGCTGATTGAGGTTGCACATCTACTCTTGACCAGAGCAGTGGATGCCTGGCCAGCCGTGTGCCAGTGAGTCTCTGAGGCTGATGTGGGCCGGCTCCGCAGGCTGCCTCCGACAGACATCAATCGGGTTGCTGTCCTCAGTCTAAGGGACATAGACTCGGCCAGCTACAGAGGCGGGTGACAGGCACAGTGATCTCCATCCCGTTGATGGAATGCCAGGCAATGTCCCAGGAAGTTTTCTGCCGAATCTGGTGGTAAATAGCAAAGACAGCTGCTGCATGTCTCTGGGTGTCTGGCGTTGGTCACACCCACGCCTCTGAGACTGTCCCATGTGTCATCTCTGAGCTCCCGGAGACTTCTGTCACTCAGACAGCAGGCCCCAGGAAGGCTGCTTTGTGGACTCTGAACTCTTTGTCAGAGGTTTTGGTCCATCTTGGGCTCTATTAGCTGTATACTGTGCGACCAGCACAGGGCTGCCCTGGGGGCTTTTCGTTACTTCTGCTTGGAGCGGCCCTGGGCTGTGGCTCCGTGGTAGGCTCTTGCTGTAGGGTTTCGCCCAGCACCGCACATGCACACAGGTAAGACCCCAGGACAGCCTCAGCTCTTCCTGCAAACGCTGTGTGACGGAGTGGTTTGCTCCTTGGTGAGACCAAGATTTGGGGAGGTGACATACAAAGTGCCCCTGCAGCACTGACACTGGGGACACTCAGGTCCCTGCAGGTGAGCTGGGCCAGGAGGTGGCCCCCCAGTGTGGCCCTTGGCCAAGCTCAGCACCGGGAGGCCTGGGGAAGACCGAGGACTGCGCCCAGCTTTGAGTGTCTTTGCCCGGAGCTGACAGAGCAGCTGAGTTTTTAAAAGATTCTGGATGCCGGGTGTGGGGGCGCATGCGTGTAATCCCAGCATCGGAGACTGAGGCAGGAGGATCCCATGGATTTGAGGCCAGCTTGGTGTTCACGACCAGCCTGAACTAAAAGTGAGACTGTGTGTCAAACAGACAGGCAAACAAAGGATTCTGGAAGTTTTTGTTACGCTGCTTACTCCCTGCCACAACCCCAGTGCAGGGGATTGAACCCAGGGCCGGACACAGGCCAGGCAGTGCTGTATTGCTGAGCTCACACCCAGCCAGAGACTCTGGAAGTTGCGACTTTTATCTGTGATCTCTGGTCTCGTAAGCACTGGCATATCATTTACATAGTTCTGAACGTGGCGTGTGCCAAGCAAAACATGACAGCGGCCAGATGGCGCCCGGAAATCATCATGTGCAACTTGTTTGCTCTAGGGACTTTGTGGGGACTTGGTTGGGGACGCTAGTAGAGCCAGAGATCTAGCTGCTGTCTGACAGGGGATGCCCCTTGTTTTTGGGGACTCATCAGTTTCAGGAGCCAGGCAAAGATGCGTTCAGAGAGAGGCCTGGGCAGGGGTTGGAGGCACGGGCTGTGAGGCACGGGAGCCCTGGGTCTGGGATTCCCAGCCCGGTGCGCCTGCCTCTTGTCTCCCTTGGAGGCAGCAGTTGCTCTGCCCAGCCACGTGGGTGGGCCCTGCAGCGTCCTGCTAGGGTACGGTGACAGGGCGCTGCCACACGGCGGCTTAAACAGCAGGAACGTGCTGTCTCCGCTCTGGAGGCTGAAGTCTGGAGTGCAGAGGTCCTGGGACCAGAGAATGGTTGCAGGCCTCCCCGCTTGTCTGGTGCCACTGGCCACTGTGGGCAGTGCCTGTCCTGTAGAAGCACTGCCCACCTCGGCCTCCATGGCCACGCCCCTGTGTGCCCCCCTGTCTCTTTGTCTGAGGTCCCCCTGTTGATAAGGGCGTGGGCCTGTTGGGTTAGGGCTTACCCTCATGGTTTCATTTTCATTTAAAATACCTGTGCGGACCTCTCGCCAAGTAAGGCCATCTTCCTGTTTTGTGTTTTGGGACAAGGTCTCACTATGAAGTTCAGACTGGCTTCTCACTCTATGTAGCCCAGGCCGGCCTTGAACTGTCCATCCTCCTGCCTCAGCCTCCTGAGTGCTGGGGTTACAGACACCCACCACCATGCCCAGCTAGGAGAGACTTACTTGAGCACCCTTCCCCCATCTGCAGTTGTCTGTCCCCTCTGCTGTCCCCACAGACAGTGGCCTAGAGTCCCCAACTTGTGCTCTGGCCTCACTGGGGCCTCTTTTCTGTTTTTTTTCCTCGGCACATAGTAGGCCTTCAGTAACCACTCGTTTAAGGAACGGATGAAGAGTGAAATCCTTGTGAGAGAGGACGTGACTGCTGAGGCCATTATCCGTAAGACTGTCCCTGGCGTGGCAGAGCCTGGCAGAGCCTCAGGGCTGTTCGGGGCTCCTCTGTTGTTCTGTGGAGCCCGTAAGGAGGTAACAAAAGGGGGCTTGAGATCCAGAGCCCTGGGACTTGGGGCAGCCAGCCCCCGCCTCTCTGCCTAGCAGCGGGTGTCGGGTGGCAGGTGCAGGTCGCATGGCCAGGAATTGGGAAGCGTTTCCTGCAGACCTGGGCCGAAGCTTCCTGGCAGAGGAAGGAGCCTCACACTGCCAGCTGGGCCATCTGCTGCCGGAAGGCTCTGGGGGCTCCCGCGGGGTCCTCCGGGTGTGCTGGGGTGGGGGTGGGGTGGCGGTGGCTTTCCAGGCGGGGCTTGGCACCCCGGTGTTTCTGTGGTAGCCTTGGGCCTGGGCCAGGGCAGTGGTTCAGGGCAGGGCAGCTGGCAGGAAGGTCCTTGTACCTGAGCCCCTGAAATCGGATGTGGACGCTCCGCCCACTGTCCCTCCCTGCAGGGACCTGCCCTGGAGTGGCCTGGCAGAGAACTCGGCAGTGTCGCTGGTTTTACGCTCTTGTCTTTTTGTATGATTTTTTTCTGTGGGGAGAATGTTGGTAGCTTGCTTTCTTCTTTCTTCTTTCTTCTCCTCCTCTTTTTTTAATATTTTACTTGGACAGAGTTTCGCTAAATTTTAAGTTCCCCAGGCTGGCCTCAAAACTTGCCATCCCCCCACCTCAGCCCCGCTACCTCTGCTTCCCAGAGCTGGGCTCATAGGTGCGCACTGCCACACCCAGCTGGCTCAGATTCTCACAGGGCCCATGACCCAGAGCCAGGCAGGATGCTGGGGAAGAAGATGGCCTCTGTGCAGACCGCCTCTCCTGTCAGTGCCCGAGAGCCCAGCCCTGCGTCCTGGGGCTCCCAGGGGCTCCTCTTCCAGAGCGGCGACCTGACCCAGGTCTGAGCAGCATGCTCCCCTCCCCTCCTCCCCTCCAGACCTCGACGGCTGAGACTGACGCTGACGCCAGAGGCCACCAGACTCCGGCCGGCCAGGGAGACTGATTAAAAGCAGCTTCGCTGAGGGCAGACGGCTTGGTGTCCTTGGCCTGCAGGGGAGATCGATAAGCAATTGTTTTTCTGTTGGCAAGAAAAAAATTCTCCATTGACTTTCCAGACGCTGCCAGGCTTAGTTTTCTTTTCAGGAATGCGTGGAGCCCTGTTGGAGCCCGGAAGGAGGACAGCCTGGGTCTGGAGCACGTGGCCGACTGTCAGGCCTTAAGAGCAGGGGGTTGCTGGGACGCTAGCCCCTCCTGAGCGTTCTGGAGCACAGCCCGGCTGGTAGTGGGCCTTCAGCAGGCATTGATGGAAAGAGCAGCTTTTGAGCACTTAAGCCTTTGAGGATTTTTTTCCCAATACAGTAGTAGGGAATGGAGCAGCGGCCTTTGCCCGAGCCACATCCCCAGACCTTTTTTAACATTTTATTTTGAGACTGAGCGTCACTTAGTTGCCCAGGCTGTGCTCAGACTTGGACTCCTGGCTCAGCCTCCCACACTGCTGAGAGTGCAGACGTGCACCCCTGCTCGCACCTGCAGTTTCATTCTTCATGTTGGTAAACTGCACGTAGCGTGAACTCTGCCATCTCGGCTGCTTTCAGTGCGTAACTCATGGTGTCAGGTGCTCTGTCTGTGCAGTCGCACACCTTCGGGTCCAGATATGTCCGCCACTGCAGGAGATCCGTGCCCGCTGTCCTCGCCCTGCAAACCTGGGCCCCGTCCTCTCCTTTGCTCACCTGTGGGTCTGTCCCAGTGTCACCAAGAGATGTCGTCTCACTTGCTCTCCTGAGCACCCACTCTCTTCCTGGCTCCTGGAGACCCCTTCATGCACGCGTGATTGGTGCGGAGCTGCCACTGCCCCCGTCTGAGGATCGGGGGTGACTCGAGTTCCAGCGGCTCTGTGACATTTGTCCAGCAGGCTTGGTCAAACATGAACCAAAGGTTAATACTGTCTGGACAAGGGGAGGTTGGCAGCCTGAGAGAGTGCTGCAGTCTTTCTCTCACAAAATCCAGAAAATGTTCACATAGCATAAAACTAATCTTTTTTTTTTTGACAGCGCTCCAGATTAAAACCAGTGTCTCACCCATGCTAGGCGAGCACTCTGTACCCAGTTACATCCCTGGCCTGTTTTCTTACTTTTTAATTTGAGGTAGGGTCTCACTAAGTTTTCCAAGTTAGGCTTCAACTTGCAATCCTCCTGCCTCAGCATCCCAAATAGGAAGTTCTGAGGCAGGAGATTGACTCTCGCTGGGCCAGATGGATAGCCACAGGCCCACCTGTCCTGCCTCTGTGACCCAGCCTTGCTCTGTGTCCTGTCTCTGCAGGTGGCCGTGCTACAGGTGGGAGTGCCCCGGAGTGGTGGATGACATCATCCCACGCACAATGTCATCATGCATCTCTAGCCAGCCCAGCAGCGACCGGGCCGTGCCCCAGGATGGCAGCGGCGAAGGCCCAAAGCCCTGTGAGGCCCTGCAGGGCCTGTCATCCCTGAGCCTCCGCCTGGGCATGGAGTCCTTCATCGTGGTCACCGAGTGTGAGCCGAGCCACGCTGCGGACCTCAGCCTGGCCCGGGACCGGCCCCACCTCTCAGGTCGCAAGCTGTCCCTGCAGGAGCGGTCCCCAGGGGCGCCTGCGGCCAGCAGTAGCCTGGACACGAACGGACGCTGCATCCACCCATCCCTGCCCTACTCGCCCGTCGGGTCCCCGCAGTCCTCGCCTCGCCTGCCCCGGCGGCCCACGGTGGAGTCGCACCATGTGTCCATCACGGGCCTGCAGGTGCGTGGTGGCCGGTGTGGTCGGGGTCTCGGGTGCCCTGCCCTGTCCCTGGGTCTCCGCGTCAGCCCTGGCTCCGCCAGAAGAGTCTGAGTGCAGCTGTGGAGCTGGAGGTGACCCCAGGCGCTGCTGCTGCTGCTGCTGCTGCTGCGGGGGTCAGCGCAGAAGATGGAGCGGCCACCAGAGTGGGCACGTGGGGGGCTGGCGGGGGATGTTGCAGGCGCCCCAGGAGCCCAGGCAGCTGCTTAGTAGCCCCCGCTGCCACACTTTTCGCCTGGGCCTGCGTGGCATCTGAGAGACGGGCTTTGACTCACGTCCTGGCAGCCTTCTCGGGGCCCTGCAGTCCCTGCCTCCTGCTGCCGGCATCAGGGTCCCTCTGCCCACACGCCAGGCTCAGTCCTGCCTGCGGGCCTTTGCTCTTGCTGTCCTCCCACCCGCCCTGCCTGCCCACCCCAGGACTCCCTGTCCCTCGTCCTGCAAGGCAGCTCTATCCCCTGCATGTCTCCTTCCCGCCCGGGGGCCCCTTTACTCTCTCGCCAGACCCCTCAGCCTTGCCTGCCTGGGTGCGGTCTTCCCCCAGCCAGAATACAAACCCCACTCAATCTGCCTCGACCTCCATGTCCCCAGCACCACACAGCCTGCATATGGTAGGAGCTTGAAAGTATCTTCGAGGGAATGAATGAGTCTGATTGGAGAAGACTTGACGTCAGGCCGACCTGCAGGGGCTGTGTGCCTACAGGGCTGCATTCTGAAGGCCAGGTAGAGCCATCCAGAATCCGCATGACAGGGAGAGCTCAGTGAAAAGGGTGTACAGCATGAGCAAAGGCCCTGTGACCGAGGCAGGAAGGTGGGGAAGGAGGAAGGAGTTCAGTTAGCTGGCGTAGGGCCATTATGGGGTCTGGTAGTCCTGGGGCTAGAGGTAGTTTGGGTTTATAACAGAGTTGAATTGGCTGAGAGAAACAGCCCCCATCCCCAACAGTGGCTTTAACACAGTAGAATTTATTAATCATGCAAATTACATCTGAGCAAGGCATTCTGAGACTGGATTGGTAGTTGTGTGCTGTAGTTCCAGCCTTCACAACTCTATTCCAGGCAGGAAGAAGGAGCGCGGGACAAGCAAGTCTTTCTAAGTTAGTCCTCTTTCCTAAAATCTCTACCCGAGAACTTTAGCCTGCCTCCTGCTGCCAGAACCCCGGCACATGGTGAACTCACTGTGGAGCCCCCCTGAGCTCTGAGAGAGGCTGGAGACGAAGGTGGGACACCGCCACGCAGAGTCTGTGAGGAAGAAGGGGAGACTGGCATTGGGTGGGCGATCAGGTGACTGGCAAGGTCAGGCCTTGGAGGCCGGGCTGTGGGGATGCAGCGGGAGTCAAAGTGGAGTCTGGGAGGCTGAAGCCGGCAGCTGCCTGGCCCTCTGCCGTGTGGTGTGCAGCCTGACGCAGGGACTGTCTCCAGGACGCTGCTGAGGGGAAGGAGGTCGGGAGACGGTTTGCGGGACACCGTCTATGTCAGTGCGCCGCCCCGGAGCAGCCTGTGTCCCTGACCAGGCCGGGCTGGCGGCCGCACACCAGGAGGGGCCGGGGCTCGCGCCGGGGCAGAGGAGGTCCCGTCTGACTCCGGAGGTTGGTTTCTGTTGTGTCCCTTTCCCACTTTACCCTTCACTGCTGGAGAGCAGTTAAAGTTGTTAAAAACCTGCATATTTCACATGTATAAACATGCATTATGCCGGCAGTGGTGGTGCACGCCTGTAATCCCAGCACTCGGGAAGCTGAGGCAGGAGGATCACTGAGAGTTGAGGCCAGCCTGGGCTATAAAGTAAGCTCAAGGCCAGCCTGAACTGCATAGCGAGATCATGTCTCAAAAGGACAAAAAAAAAAAGTGCATTGTTACTTGATTGCCCCTGGGACAGCCTCACAGCCAAGACAATGGGGACATTTCCAATACACTCACAGTACCTGCCGCCTCCACCTCCCTCTCCCCAGGGAGCTGCCGGCCTTGCGTTTTGTTTTGTTTTTAGGCTGGCCTTAAACTCACTATGGAGCCCAGGCTGGTCTTGAATCACAGCAGTCCTCCTACCTCAGCCTCCAGAGTCTTGGCATGACAGGTGTGCACCAGCTATTTTTTTTTTTTTAAATCATTACAAGGGCTGGGAATTTATCTTAGCGGCACAGCGCCTGCCTGGCAAGTGCAAGGTTGTGAGTTCGATTCCCAGTACCGGAAAAAAACAAAACAAAACAAAAAATCATTACAGATTAGTTTGTAAATTCTAGAATTGTTCTAAGTGAGATCACTTAGTGTGCAGTCCTTTTTTAGTGTAGTTTTTCTCACCACATCCTGATTCTATGATGTGTCCATGTTGTATCTGTGGATTCTGCCAAACTCAGGCTGAAATATCCAGAAGGACAAAATTGCATCTACATAGACTTGTTTTCCTGTGCTGATTCTTTTTTTTGTTTTTTTTTCTTTCTGGTACCGGGAATCGAACTCATGACCTCGCGCTTGCCAAGCAGGTGCTGTGCCACTGAGCTAAATCCCCAGCCTCCCTGTGGTGATTCTTGAATAATACAGTGTGACTACTCCTTACATAGCATCTGTGTTGTATTAAGTGCCTAAGCAACATGGAGATGATTGAAGTGTAAAGGATGCTATGCAGAGGTTGTGTGCAGACTCTGTCACTTTAGAGAAGGGACTGGAACAGGTTTCAGTGTTGCAGGGGTCCTGGAGCCCATCCCTGTGGACACCAAGGGACGTGGGACCGGCTGTGGTTCTTTTCCTTTTGTCTTTTTGAGACAGGCTCTCGCTGTGTAGTTCAGGCTAGCCTTGAGCTCACTTTGTAGGTCAGGCTGGTCTTGAACTTGCAGTGATACTCCTGCCTCAGACTCCCGAGTGCTAAGATTACAGGTGTGCGCCACCATGCCTGATGGCTTTTCCTATTACACACAGCTCGAAGGGCGTGGTGCACATGTGCTTGGGAGGCAGAGACAGGAGGATCGCTGTGAGTTCAAGGCCAGCTTGGGCTACATAATGGAGACCCTGCCTCCAAAAAAAAAATAAAAACAAAACAAAAAAACCCTGTTACACACAGTGTTGTCAGAGATATTTGTACAGAGGTCTCTGTAAACATACGTTCATTTCTCTTGGGTAAACTCCCAGGAGCAGAGTGGCCGAGTGGTCAGGAGGGGAAGTCCAGAGGCTGACCCTGTTTTCTGACGAGGGGTGCCTTTGGCGCTGTGCAGCCTGGAGTGGAGGGGCTCGTGCCCGCGTCACGCCGACATGCAATCTGCTTAGTCTTCGGGTTTGAGCAGCCCAGGGGGGGCTTGAATGTCCAGATCCCTGGTGACTGAAGGCCTTGCCCAGTGCCCACTGACCTCTTGGCCATCTCCTTTGAAGAAGTTCCTGTCCAATCTTTTGCCCAGTTCTCAGCGGGGTTGGTGGGTTTCTTACTGAGTGAGGGCTGTTTGCTCGGCTCTGCTCCCCTTTCTTTCTTGGCTTTTCTTTCCACTGTGCTTTCTTCCTTTTTCCTTTCTCTCTCTCTCCTTTGATGGCGCCTGTGGCCTGGTGCGAGCTAGGTGCGTGCTCTGCCACCGAGCTGCCCCCCCCCCCCCGTGGTTTCCAGTGGTATTTTGAGGACCAAAGTTTTAATTTTGGTGAAAACCAATGATTATTTGTTTCTTTTTATGTTCTGGATCTTTGTGTATTATCTAGGAACCTTTCCCTACCCCAGGGTGCAGAGATCCCTCCTCCTCCTCAGTACTGGGGATTGAACCCAGGGCCTCTGCACTAACTGAGTCACATCTCCAGTCCTTGTTTTATTTTATTTTGTGTTATGTTATTTATTTTGAGACAAGATCTCACTGAGTTGCTAAGTTGAACAGGGTAGACTTGAACTTGAGATCCTCCTGCCTCAGCCTTTCAGGATGCTGGGATCACAGGCATGTGCCACTATGCTCAGCTAAATTTTCCTTTTTGATAGTGGGAAGAACATTTTAAAAATGGTTATTAAGGCCGGGTGTGGTGGTGCACACCTGTAATCCCAGCACTTGGGAGGCTGAGGCAGGAGGATCATTGCGAGTTCAAGACCAGCCTGGGCTACAAAGTGAGCTCAAGGCCAGCCTGAACTACATAGTGAGACCCTGTCTCAAAAAGACAGAAAAAAAAAAAAAAAAAAAAAAAAAGGTTATTAAAAGAGTACATATTGTATGATTACTTTTTTCCCTGTGGTGCTGGAGATCAAATCCACGGCCTGTGCGCATGCTGGTCCCTGCAATACGTTTTACAGCATCCAATGAGAGGCAAAGTCTGTGCTGGGGAAGTCAGGGTTCTGCGCCCTGCTGGAGGGGCCTGGCTGGAAGGGGTTCTGGGAGCAGGGAGATTCTTCTGGCCTGGGCTCCCGGATACCGGCTGTCTCACTTCTGAGGGAGACGCCGTTGCCCTTCACATCTGCTGCTTCTGCTTTCTTCCCAGGACTGTGTGCAGCTGAATCAGTACACACTGAAGGATGAGATTGGAAAAGTAAGTGTTACTGGGCGGCCAGGAGGAGAGGCCGGGGGCACTTTCGTGGAGGCTTTTGTTTTGTTTTCTTTCTACCTTTTTTTTTGAGATAGGGTCTTGCAGTATAGCCCAGGCTGGCCTCAAACTCATAGCAGTTCTCCTGCCTCAGCCTCCTGAGTGCTGGGATTACAAGTGTGCGACACTTACGCCCAGTGTAGGTTGTGTTATTAATGCTCCAGTGTTTTTTGTGTTTTTAAAAACTTTATTGGTATGTTTAGATGTACACAGTGACTACAATGGTAGACACAGTGACTGCGTTCATCACAGGGAATTTGTACCTGCACGGGATACAGCTTGCTGCTTTCCATTCCCGCCCTTCAGCCGCTCTTCTCCTTTACAGAAGCTTTGTTTCCATTTTTCCTTCTATTTTTTTTTTGGGGGGGTGTCTTTTAAAATTAAATGGTTTTGCAAAAAATATGTACATACAAAATAGCCAAGATAGTTATATTACTACATTCTCTTAGTTCATTGAACAGAAAGGTTTGTGCTAATGTTGTTTGGATAATTAAAATACTTGTATCTTGTACTCTGAGTAACTAATTTAAAGATAACAGTGTGCAGTGTATTAACCCTTGTTACTCTATTGTCTTGTTTTGAAATTTTGTGTGTTTTTCTTGTAAAAAAAGTGTTTCTGCTAAAGCTGGGAACTGTTCCAGGGAAACCCTGCGTTGCGAGTGATCGTCCTCGTCACATGAGTGGGTCCCCGCCATGGGCTCTCACATCTGTTTCTTTGGTTTCAGGCAATGAGCAGCACTATTGCAGAGGGCAAAACCTCCAATGCTGATAGGAAGGGAAGCTGGGCACGGTGGTGCTCACCCATAATCCCAGCACTTGGGAGGCTGAGGCAGGAGGCTTACTTCCTGAGTTTGAGGCCAACCTGAGCTACATAGCAAGATCCTGTCTCAAAAAACCAAAAAATAAAAATAAACAAGGACAGGAAGTAAGCAGTGTAAGAGGGTGAGGTGTTTGGGTGGAAGGCAGATTAGGAGGAGGAGGTGGGCGAGGCAGTCCAGGTGTGAGTGGCAGGAGGAGCCAGGTCTCTAAACTGTAAATATTTGGAAGCGAGGTCGCCCTATAGCTAGATCTTCCGATTTTTTTTTTTCTTTCAAAAGAAGCCGGAGATAGGGAGGTTTACATCATAGGGAGTTTTACATCAGACCCTTCTCTTTAAATGTCCACTACTGGGCCGGGCATGGTGGCGCACGCCTGTAATCCCAGCACTCAGGAGGACGAGGCAGGAGGATCGTTGCAAGTTCATGACCAGCCTGGGCTACAGAGTGAGCTCAAGGCCAGCCTGAACTGCAGAGCGAGACCTTACCTCAAAAAGACAAAAATAAATAAATAAATGTCTGTAACTAATTAGAGCTTTATAAAAACTGCTGCAGCAGATAGTTAGGAGCGGCCCAAGGCGGGGCCCCGCTTGGAAGAGCCTAACTCGGGGTCCATGTGTCATGGGCATCTCCCTCCATTCAGGGCTCCTACGGGGTGGTCAAGCTGGCCTACAACGAGAACGACAACACCTACTACGTGAGTGTCCGGCCCTGCCTGTCCGTCCTCGTCACAGAGCCTCCCTTCCTGCACTCAGCTTCTGCCGCCCCTTTTATGCTGAGGCTGTCAGGGAGGAAGCAGGGAGCCCGTTTCCGGTGGGGAGGTGGGGCGGGGGTCACTCACCATCTGTCACCCTCGCCGTCCCGAGCCGCCAGTGCTGCGCCGTTCACAGGCCTGGAGCCAGGTGGTGGCGATAGTGGGGGTAGCAGGGCAGATCGCCAAGCAGCTGGGCTGCAGTCGGCCCTTCCGTGCTCTGGGGTCTGGCCTTAGGCAAGTGATGTGTCCCCAGCTGGGCCTCAGTTTCCCTGCGTGAGATGCAGCCAGTCATCGTAGGCTCTTGATGTCCCCTCTGGGGTTGCTGACTGGGAACCCTGAAAGTGTCCTGGGGTGGGGGGCGACTCTTGCAGGCTCCACACAGCCAGGAGCTGCTCACCCTCTGGTGACGAGGGCACTGTCCTGAGGTTCTGGGTGCCAGGCCTGGCCAGGCCTTGGGGTGGGGACCCTGTCATGCCTCCCCCTGCCACTCTGATTGGAGGTGGGTTTTGTCTTCTCCAGGCCATGAAGGTGCTGTCCAAGAAGAAGCTGATCCGGCAGGCTGGCTTCCCACGTGAGTGTGGGGCTGGCAGGACAGGGTGGAGCCTGCTGTGGTGCTCCCTGCAGAGGGCACCCGGGAAACCCGCTGCAGGTGTCACCTGTGACAGGCTGGGTCTCCTGTTGAGATTGTGTCTTCAGTTTCCTTTAAGAATATTTATGGCCATGCCGGGCGTGGTGGCGCTCGCCTGTAATCCCAGCACTCGGGAGGTTGAGGCAGGAGGATCGTTGCCAGTTTGAGACCAGCCTGGGCTACAAAGTGAGCTCAAGGCCAGCCTAAACTGCATAGCAAGACCCTGTCTCAAAAAGACACACACACAAAAAGAATATTTATTGCCAGGCATGATACACACCTATAGTTCCAACATTCAGGAGGTTGAGACAGGAGGATTGCTGTGAGTTTGAGGCAGCCTGGACTATATAGTGTGTTCATTTGTCATAGTAAAAGATGCATTGCCGTTAACCCCTCAAAATACTCATCCTTGCTTTGATTTAATGGTGATAAACTTTATTTGAAAAAGTAAAAGTGAAGAGTGAGGGAACTGGCCCTGCAGAGTGAGAAGGCCCTCATCCCATCGTCCTCGCCACTTCCTGAAGCAGCTCGGGAGTCCTCTTTCAGAAGCATCTCCAGCTGCACCGTCGTGGCTGCCTCCGCGTCCTGAATTAATTCAGATCATTTACTTTTTGTGATCATTTTGACCTGGGGAAGAGGCAGAAGGCCCATGGTGCCAGGTCTGGTGAACGAGGAGGATGAGGTCTGCTTTTCTGCTGGGTGCCACTGGCAGCAGGGTTTCCTGTTTCTGATACTTCATAAAGACATGAAAGAGGATCTCTAGAACTATCTCACAGGTAGGAAGGACACTGGGATAAGTGGGTTTGAAGTGAGGGAGAGTACCTGTATTTTGAGGGCGATTAATGGCAGTGTGTCTTTTACCGTAATACATTTTGTAAAATACTCTTTAAAAACATTTTTAAAAAATATTTGCCGTGTGTTTTGATCCTCTCTTACATATGTCCACACAAAATAGGACATGCGTTTATAGCAGCGCTATTCACAGTGACCAGAAAGTGGAAACAACCTGACATGCCCATCAGATGAATGAGTAACCAAGATGTAGATGCTCCCACTAGAATATTACTCAGTCATGCAGAGGAGCAAAGGTAGACTGCAGGTGGGCACAGCGGAGGCTGCCCCAGCTTAAGCCCCTGCCAGCAGTATTGGCCAAGTCTTGGCTTGGACCAAAAGGAGAAATTATTTGAGAGGAAATGTCAGCCTCCTCCTTGCACTGGAACCCCAGGTTACCCTGCTGCTTGGAACTCTGAGCAGGTAGTACCTTCGTGTTGCTATTGATTGACCAGGTGGTGGTGGTGGTTTTTTTTAATACTGGGGGTTGAACCCAGAACCTTCTCACAAAGCTGTATCCCCAGTGCTCTCTTACATTTTGTTTTATTTCGACACAGGGTCTTGCTAAGTTCCCAAAGCTGGGCTTGAACTTGCAGTGCTCCTGCCTCAGCTCCCAAGAGTGCTGGGATTATTGGCCTTGACCAAACTACCCATCGCCTTGAACTGCAGCCCCTGACAGGAGGCACGGGGCTGAGGGAAGGCTGAGAGGGGGCAGGGCTCCCCCTTCACTGGTTTCTGGCAGTGGAGGAGACGGATGAGAGTCGCTCCAGGCGACGCGCCATCAGCCACCCCAGCGCTGCCCAGCGCCTTCCCCTTTGTTGTCCTCCCCCGCTGCCTCTACAGGGGCGTCTCTGCCCTGACCCGGGTTCCCTGTGTCTTGTCCAGGTCGCCCCCCGCCCCGGGGCACGCGTCCAGCCCCGGGTGGCTGCATCCAGCCCCGGGGCCCCATCGAGCAGGTGTACCAGGAGATCGCCATCCTCAAGAAGCTGGACCACCCCAACGTGGTGAAGCTGGTGGAGGTGAGTCCGGGCATCGGCCCCCTGGGTGCACATGCCTGTCACTCCTTGGCAGGGTCGGCCGGCTCCCACCAGGCAGCTCCCGTGGGGCCAGGAGCCTAGGGCCGCAGACTCCCAGGCCACTGCTGTGTCACGCCATCACAGCCCTGTGTCAGACTACTCTCTGCTCATTTCATGGATGTGTCCCCGTGCACAGGTGGGGACACAGGCCAAGGACCGTGAGCTTGCCCCTCACCCCTTTCTGCACACCTGTGGGTAGTTGTGGGGTAAAAGCAGCCACACAGTCTATGTAAACAAATGGACAAGGTTGTGTCGCAATAAAACTTTATTTACAAAAACGTGAAAGGCTGGATTGGGCCGTCCCGCTGCAGTTTGCCAGCCCCTGCTCTGGGTCAGCAGCTCTTCCGCTTTCCATCTTGAGAGCCCTTTGTGCTTGTAAAAATTATTGAATAACTCAAAGTGTTCCTGCTTGTGTGGGTTATGATTATTCATATGTACCGCATTAGAATATACACTGAGAAATGTAAAAATTATTTGGGAAGCTGGGTGTGGTGGTGCACGGCTGAATCCCAGCATCTGGGAGAAGCACCCCTCAGCAGGAGGGGCGCTGTGCGTTCAAGGCCAGCCTGGGCTCCATGGTGAGCTCAAGGCCAGCCTGAACTGCACAGTGAGACCCTGCCTCAAAAAACCAAAAATCAAACAAATAACACATAAAATGAAAATAGTTTCACCTGGAGACTTCTTAGAAGCGACTTGGGGACCCTGAAGGCCCCCATTTGCCATGCCTCTGGTTGAGGTGATGACTGGAAGCAGCATGCCATGAGCTAGTGCTGGGCATCCGAAGCCCGTGGGGTGGGGAGGGCGCCAGGAGGCTGCCTCGGGGCACGTGAGGGTTGAGGTGCCCTGGCTGTCCCCTGATGGGAGACACAGGGTGGGCTTTGTAGAGTGCATGCCAAGGGCCTGGGCCTTCGCCAGGGCGAGCATCCCTGCATGTGGCGGACGGGAGTCTGGGGGTAGCGTGGGGTTCCAGTGGCTGCCCCCGTCCTTGCCCAGAGCCTGCTGGGTGTCTGGGTACCTCCCATGCCTTCCATTGTGACCCGAAGAGGACTAGAAGGTGCCGCCCCCTCGGGCCCCGTGGGCACAGTCCCCCGCCGCCTCTCACAGCTGCCTTCTCTCTCTCCTCTGCTCCTCCCTGGCTGCTCTGGGCGGCTGTGCTGACAGGTACTGGATGACCCCAATGAAGACCATCTGTACATGGGTAAGAGAGCCCTGTCCGCCCTGCCCCGCACCCTGGGACACCCCACTAACCACAGCTCCCCTTCTCGGGTCCAGCCGGCCCCCAGATAGCCCCACAGAAGGCCCTGGGTGGAGACAGGAAGTGGAGGGGAGTTCTTGCTGGGATTTACAATCCGGGTCTCCTTGTTGCCTTGCGTGCTACACCTGCTCCAGGCTGAGTGCTGTTAGGGCCTGAGGCCTGGGAGTGAGGAGGAGGCCCTGCTCTGAGGAAGTTGTGTTTGCATACGGAAAGGCGGTGGGTGTGGTGGCGCACGCCTCTGATCCCAGAACCCTTGGTTTAATCCCCAGCGCTACAAAAGTAATTAAAATAAATGATGAATTCATCACAGTAAATAAGTATTAGGAATTTATAATAAAATTATGAGAGGAAGATTTATGAAAATGTGGACACCATACTACCTCAGTGTTTCTCAAATATGGCCCTGCTCTCAACCCGAGTACGTGAGATAATTTGGGGTGGTAATGGAAAGAAAACATTTTAGAAAATTTTTTTGTATTTAACATTGCATATGAAAAACAACCAGTGTCTAAACTCATAATTTCATGTCTGTTATTACCTAGGACAAGGCTAGAAAATTAGAAATTGAAGCCAGACGTGGTGGTGCACACGTGTAATTCTGGCTACTTGGGAGGCTGAGGCAGGTGGGTCAAAAGCTGAAGGCCAGCCCGGGCAACTTTTCAAGCAACACCTGGTCTTGAAATTTAAAAAAAAAAGGAAAAAAGAGTGGGGGAACGAAGCTTACTGGTACACTTGCCTAGTATCTGGGGCTGTAGGTTCAATCCCCACTACGACAAAAACTAAAATTAGAAGTTGAATTGATTTAAAGAAAATAATAATTTCCATGGTTCCCGTGGTATGTAATGTAGCCAGGGTGTAAACACGGTAGCAGGTGATCGAAGGCTGATAAAGTGTGATGGAAATCATGGTGGCCAAGCGTTGTTCTCACTGAGCCCCGCAAGGCCTGGCTGTCTCTGTGGAGGCTGCTTGTTGGATCTTCAGCATTCTGACGGGAGCTGCCCGTCCTCAGGGACGTCACCCAGGCTCTGCAGGTGACAGCTGTCCAGGAAAATCAAGTATCCTCGAGTGGAGTCTGAGGAGGAGTGTGCCCTGGTGGGGGCTGGGAGAGCGCACGGCTCTGTGGGGGTGTCTCACTGAGGCCACACTTCACAGGACAAGGGGCCAGGTGGCAGAGGCATTTCACACCGCTGTAGAACTTGGCTTTGACCTGGAGCCAGACGGGAGCCGTTAGGAGTGACTAAAGTCAGGGAAGAGTTTCCTGAGCTGTGGGAGCTGGGAGCCTCCTGGCCCTAGTGCCTCACTCCCTGGTCCTGGCTGGCTGGAGGCCCCTTGCGGTGATGTGTCACTTTCTAGCCACAGTGGGGTGGGCTGACAACACACAGATGAGGCCGCAGACATCAGGAAGGGGCTTGAACCACACGCCTGACCCCACAAGGAAGAAAACTCCAATTCTGTTTCTTGGGTCTAAAAACACTCAGCTGGTGTTGGGGATGCTGTAATCCCAGCACTTTCCGTGGCTGAGGCCGGGGGATTGCAAGTTCTAGCCCACCTAGGCAGCTCAGCATTTGAAAGAGACCCCAACTCAGAAACAAAGGGGAGATGTAGCTCAGTGGCAGAAAAAATATTCCCACCCACACTCAACTCCAAGAGTAGCCGAGCTGGCCCAAGCTTCCCGGGTACCTGGCAGGTGGGAGGAAGTACAGGGATTCCTGAAGCTTGCAGGCCAAGATGTAAATAACCAAGGCAGGAGAGGCTGGAGCCCTAACCCCAGCTCGAGGCAGGAGCAGCTGTGCCCTAACTCGGGGACACGGTGCCCGAGGAGCTGGGTGACTGGGGACCCCGTTTAGGCCCAGTGACCCCACCGCAGCCCCGCAGCACAGGTGAGGGCTGAGAGCCTTCCTCCTTTGCCCGGTTCTCCCTGGCTGCTGGGCCCTTGACCATCTGAACCCTACAGGCTCAGCCGGGCTGGCGTCTGCGATCTCGGGTCCTTTGCCCCCAAAGGGAACTTGGCACAGAGGGTCTTGAGTTCCCTAGTTCATGGGCCTCAGTCGTTGCCGCCCTGCTTGGTTTCTCCAGCTGGCTGAGAGCTGGGCAGGGTGGGAGGAGATGGCTTTGCAGTTTCCTGGTCTAACAGTTTTCCCTTTCTCCCTGCAGTGTTCGAACTGGTCAACCAAGGGTAAGTGTGACGCCGGCGGGGAGGGCGCAGCGGGCTCTGGGGGAGAGGGGCAGGGCCTGGGGCTGGCGTGCGGCTCACGGAGCGCCCTCTGCAGGCCTGTCATGGAGGTGCCCACCCTCAAGCCGCTCTCGGAGGACCAGGCCCGCTTCTACTTCCAGGATCTGATCAAAGGCATTGAGTACCGTAAGCGGGGCTCTTAGCGTAAGCGGGGCTCTTAGCGTCGGAGCTGGGGTGCAAGCCAGGGAAATAGCCGGAGGAGGCGCCCTCGCCAAAGGGAAATCTTGCCCTTGCTCCAGAGAAATGAGTCATAGCACGGTGGGAGCCGGGCGCTGCAAGGGCCCCCACTTACTGGGGATCCCATTAACCTCCTCCAGCCTTGGCTCCCTGCTCTAAGAGGGAGACAGCATCTCACCAGGGCTGACATCTGCCAGGATACACTGCAGTTCTAACTGGCAGGTGTTGTGGGGAAGCCCCGCTCTTGTCCCTGCCTTTCCCGTGGGGTCGACGTGGGGTCAGGGGTGAGTGTGAAGCATTAGCACGGGGCTGGGCCCGGCGGGCTGGTGCTCAACAGCTCGAGCGGCTGACTCTATTACTCACGCCATCGTCTTCATTGTCACTGCCGCCGAAACACAGCTGGGGCTTCCGGACCACGCTGTCTTCCAGCCAGTCAGACGGCCACGCCCCGATTCTGTCTGTGGGTCACAGCGCAGTCCCCCTGCCCTGAGCTCTGTTGGTTCAGTGGGCAAAATGAGTGCTGGCCATTGGTAGATGAAGCGGTGTTCAGCAGCCCCAGCTGCTCAGTAGAGACTCTACACGCTGTCACGAGTGACTTAGCCGTAACAGGCAAAGTACTCGGACAGTCTGTCTTGGGAACGGGGTAAACTTCCGAGTGAGCGCTGCCTGGCAGGTATTGGAGGGGAGGCTGGAGCAGGGGCTGGGGCTGTGGGGGACGAGTCGTCTGGGTGCTGTGCTGTCTGCCTCTGGGCCGCCCAGCTCCATGGGGAACCTCACGGCACTTTCCTGCCCTGTCTGTCTCTGCTACTGGTGTCTGTCCTGCCCCCAGTACACTACCAGAAGATCATCCACCGAGACATCAAGCCTTCCAACCTACTGGTGGGAGATGATGGCCACATCAAGATCGCCGATTTCGGAGTCAGCAATGAGTTCAAGGGCAGCGACGCCCTCCTGTCCAACACAGTGGGCACACCCGCCTTCATGGCGCCCGAGTCACTCTCAGAGACCCGCAAGATCTTCTCTGGGAAGGTAGGTTTGGACCTGTTGAGCAGCCGACTTCTTCCTGTGTTAGGGCAGCAAAGACCCGACTCAAACAGGCTGAAACAGAAAATCCACTGGGTCCAGGAGCTGGGGAGTGGGTGTGTTTGGCTTTGGGCGTGGCCAGATGCCGGAACCCAAACAGGGATCTGATTCTCTCCGTTGTCCATCCCCCCAGCTTTCAGCTGTTTTCCTGAACTGATTTCCTTAGATGGTAGACAGTCACCAGCACCTCCAAGCTACCTTCTGTCAGTTTAGGGACAACTTCACTAAGCACAAGTAGCCTCTCTCTGAATAGCAACAGCAAAAAACCTAGGGCTGGCTGTGATTGGCTGAGCATGGGTCATGTGCCCATCCTGGGATGACCAATCCCTCTGGCTGAGGAAAATGGTGTTCTCATTGGCCAGGCCTAGATCACATGCCCATCAAGGAGGCTGGAGGACAGGAGCAGCCCCACCCCAACTGCATGGCTTGGGAGTCATGAAGAAGTGGTCCCAGAGGAAGGCTGGAGTTGACCTTCCTTGCCCCTGCCTGCCATGCTAACTAAGCCCTTTCTCCTGCAGGCCTTAGATGTCTGGGCAATGGGTGTGACGCTGTACTGCTTTGTCTTTGGCCAGGTAAGAAGGTAGGATGTCCTGACTTCTAGGTGACCTCCTGGATTAATGCTGGCAGATAGTACTTACTCATTTGAAAGTTCCATATTGTATTATACTTCCTTCCTGAATGTACATATCTGTATATAATACTTTTATCTGACAAAAGGTCTGATGAGGCCAGCCATGGTGGCACATGCCTGTAGTCCCAGCACTTGAGAGGCTGAGGCAGGAAGATTGCTTTGTTTTTAAGGCTAGCCTGGGTTACATAGTGAATGCAAGGCCAGTCTAAACTAGATAGTCAGTGCCTGTCTCAAAAAAAAAAAAAGTTTTTAAGGATTGTTGGGAGTTCCAGACCAGCCTGGGCTACAGAGTGAGCACAAGGCCAGCCTGAACTGCATAGCGAGACCCTATCTCTAAAAGACCAAAAAAAAAAAAAAAAAAAAGTTTAAAAAGCTCTGATGGAACAGAAATATTGGCAGAGAATCTGGAGTTTGTAGACAGTACGCTGAGGCAAGGGCAATAGATGTGCCCCCTCTCTCCACTTGTGAGCCTGAGCTGGACATCACTAATCCATAGCTGCACTTTCCTGCTGAGCCAAGGCAGACATCACTAATCAATAACGGAACCTGATATTCTTTTCAAGTGTGCCTAGATGCTGTTAGGGACAGAATTGGACTGGGAATTAAAGTCCATTTGGTGTTACTGATTTATGGAGTGCTGTTCTGTTATTTTGTTGTGGTTATTTTGCTGTGATTGTTTCAATGTTGTTGTTTTTGGGTCTGTCTGTCTCTCTCTTACAATCCTAGGGATTGAGCCCAGGGATCACTGAGCTACATCCCTAGTCCTTTAATGCTTTTATTTGGGGGAAAAGCTCTTGCTAAATTGCCCAGGCTGGCGTCAAACTTGTGATCCACCTATGTGTATGGAATTGTAGGCATTTGCTATTGTGCCTGGCTAGGGCCTTCTCTTTTTAACTGTGATGTTCACTTTGATTCTGCAAGCAACAAGAGTGTGGATTTTCCCCCTTTTTTTCCCCTCAAATATTCATTCCTTCAGTATTGTGTCTCAAATTAGCTACAGTGGCAATAGCCACGTTGGGTGATTTTTTCCCTTTTTATAAGTTTCTCCTGCCTCAGCCTTCTAAGTACTGGGGTTACAGGTGTTCACCAACATGCCCGGCTTCAAAATAAAAAAATTTAAGAGGGGCCGGGGATATCATTTAGTGTAAGGGTGCAAGGTGCAATCTTCATTCCCTTTCGCCCCCCCGCCCCCAGAAAAGAGTTTATAACTGCTCCCCTCAACATTTGAGGTTGAGAATATTTTTCAATCATACAACAGAGTTGAAGGACTTGTATGTAAAATCTATGACCCCGTGTCTTGGTTACTTTTCTCTCGTTGCTGAGACAAAATACCCAATGCCCAAAATTAAGGGAGGAAAGGTTTATTTAGCTCACAGTTTGTGGGGGTTTCAGTCCATACTCGGCTGGCTCAGAGGCAGAGTGGCACAAGGCAGAGGGCAAGAGTGCATGGCAGAGGAAGACAGCAAAAGCAAGGAGCACAAGGGAGGGGGAGCGGCAAGCGGCCTCTTTCCCTTCCTTACGTCGTATACAAACTGTCCGCCCCAGGACGTGGCAGCACTCACACCCATAATCCCAACATATGGACCAATCAAAAATCTAGAAGCCCACCCCATGACTGCATGAGGCTTTGGGGGACATCCAGACACAAACCATAACACCCTGCCAGCAGGATTCTACCAAATGTTTCACAGTACCCCCCTTTATTTTGGGGGTCTCCATCTCCTTGCCATTTTTATTTTTTGATATATTACAGAGTAAGTTGCCAACATCATTGCTCTTCCAACAGCTTCACAGTGTAGCAGGCATTAGCTAGGATTCAGTATGAATCTGTGGTCCTTTTTTTGGGGGGGGGCGTTAAATTTGCCTGCCATGAGATGTGTAGCCGTTAAGAGTTGTTTTCTGTGGGCCAGGGATATCGCTCAGTGGCATGGGTGCGATTCCTGGTGCAAAAAGAAAAGGAGTTGCTTCTCTGCTGAGCCCGAGCTGGTGGTGGTTACCCTTTTGCCGCCCAAACTCAAAACCCTGCTGGTCATTGTCCTTGGACGGGAGCGTGCCAGATGGCTTTCTGCCCCCTTTGCCAGCCCTCTCCGCCCCGCGCGCGCTCCCCCCGTCTGTGTTCCTTCTCTCCAGCAACACAGCCTGAGTCCTGTGAGGCTGGTGGCCGTGTGCGTGTGTCAAGTCACTTTGTCACCAGGAGGTGTAGTGCAAAGCGCAGGCTCCAGAGTTCGCCCCCGTGAGGTGCAGATCCTGCATGTCCTTCCCAGGACACATGGCCCCTCTCAACTGATTTCTTCTCTTCAGCACGATGAGGAAAACACTGGTAGTTTTTTCTTTTTGGGTGCTAGAGGCAGAACCCGGGGCCTTGCACATGCTAAGATGCGCTCTACCACCGAGCCACATCCCGGCCGCTGAGCCCTTTGCTTGCTGTTCTTAAGGCTTCGAGAGGGTGCGCAGAGATAATTCGTGCTGTCATGAATTCAGCGACAGTTATGACCCCTCTGTGTTAGGAATATTTCTAGACCCTGGGGAATGCACAGAGAGGAAGCAGAAACAGATTCCTGCCCTCCTGGAGTGGATATTCCCCCGGAGGAGTTGAACAATTAGCAGATAGACACAGTGTCAGGGACAAGCAGTTTCGGGGAGACCCCGTCCACACGGGTGCCACAGCCATCGCCGCGCTGGGCAGTGACTGGAGCAGGGATGGGACTCCCATGTGGCTCTGCAAAGCCTTCCCTGAGGGAGTTTTGGTCACACAGCTGCGTGCCAGAGAGAAGCCTTGCACACTTCGGTGGGAGGATTGTTCTCGGGGAGAGGCCCGGGTGACATGTGAGTCACAGAAAGCCCCAGATTGAGCCCCTGGCATCACTGCCCTACTGCAAGGCCTTGGGCGGTGGCCTTCGTGTTTGTATTGGTCCCTGGCTGATGGGTGGAGGAAGGTGTTTGCTTTTCTGTAAATAGCAGTGTACAGTGTCGTCTTGGGAAGGGTTCCAGCCCTTCTAGAACCTTCCAGGTCTTTCTGGAACCTTGAGGGATGGCACCGGCTCCCGCCCAGATGGGCCTGGGGTTGTCAGCGCCTCTCCTGTAGCCCATGTGGAGGGGAGCCGCGCAGGGGCCTGTGATGTGGCAGCCAGTGGCTGCTGCTCTTCTGTCTTCCCAGTGCCCCTTCATGGACGAGCGCATCATGAGCCTGCACAGTAAGATCAAGAGCCAGGCCCTGGAGTTCCCAGACCAGTGAGTGCTGCCGCCCGCGCTGCCGCCTCCCCGCTGGCCTCGAGGCGCTACGTCCTGTCTCCCTCTCATGCCGTGTCTCCCACCCGCAGGCCTGACATAGCTGAGGACTTGAAAGACCTGATCACCCGTATGTTGGACAAGAACCCCGAGTCGAGGATTGTGGTGCCAGAAATCAAGGTACGTGGGGCTTCCTGGCCGCAGAGACTGAGCCCAAGGTTTGCCTGCGTCCCGTGCTTGGCATTGTTTGGTTCAGCCCTGCCTCAGCCAAGCCCCGCCCTGGTCCACAGCACACACTGCTGCCCTCCACGTCCTGGGGCCTCTGGACTGCTGGGGCTGGCCAGGGCTGGGGAGGAGGCTTTGGGGTTGCATCTTCTGGCAGGCGGAGTGGGCTCTAGGAGCAGTCACTTGCAGCCCTCACGCGCTCTGGTTGCCTCAGGCTGGCAGTGTCTACTCTGCGGACCAGTCGGGCTGGGCCTCTGTGTGCTCAGCAGCCGGGTCCTTCCCTTGACCCTTGTCAGAGCCGTGGGCCCCTGAGGAAACCGCAAGAGCGTGGGAGGAAGCAGAGCGCCTCAGCCTCCCCAGCCTGCTGGGTGCCGCCCTCTTACAGGAGGCACTCTTTGGAGAGACCCCTGTCCCCAGTGCCACACGCACAGGCGTGGCTCCTTGAGGAACCTCGAGAGGTGCTCAGGGTCCTCCCAGGCCTGGAAGGAGGCCTGTGGGAGTCCCTCCCACAGATAGGGACTTAGAGCCAGGGAAGGGTGGGTAGGTGCTAGCCTGGGTCCTCTCCTGGTGGTGTCCTTCCTGCTGGTCTCACTGTGTCCCGTCTGCCGTGGGGAAAATGTTACCTGCTCCGAGCTGAGCCTTCTGGATGTCAGGGAGAGTCACGGAGGGGTGATAGGTGCCCCTGGCAGCCCGCAAGGCTGATGCCAAATTCCGGTCACTTCTGCCAAGACCTGGGCTGGTGGAGAGCTGGGCCCGTGCACCCTCAGCCGCTTTGCTCCTCCTCCTGTGCTGTCTCTGGCTGCTCTGCGCCTCCCTCCACCATGCCCTGCCTCTGCCTGGCCACCAGCCTTCTGCATGCCCGGCCCCTGGCCCGGCGCCCTTCTGCATGCCCCTGGGAGCCGGCTGCGCCCGCCCCTCACCCCTCCTGTCGTTCATTGAAGCTGCACCCCTGGGTCACGAGGCATGGGGCCGAGCCGTTGCCATCAGAGGACGAGAACTGCACACTGGTCGAGGTGACCGAAGAGGAGGTCGAGAATTCGGTCAAACACATCCCCAGCCTGGCGACCGTGGTAAGGCGGGATGGCACCTGAGAGTAGGGACAGAGAGGCCCCGAGCTGGGCCCAGTGAGGATAGACACCGGGGAGCACAGGGGCTGAGAGTCAGGGGACGGCCGGGGCTGCCCCGTCCCCAGCCGCCGGCCCTGGCCCCGGGCCTCGGTCACCGCTCAGGCCTGGCGGCCCTGTGGCTGCCATGTGACCCTGGAGAGGGGCCGTCCCCTTTGAGGCCGTGCTGGCCCTCCTGGGGCCCCCGCTTCCAGAGCAGGGCCAGGAGGAGCAGCCAGGAGGAGGAAGACCAGGCAGGAGGCGGATGGCTGAGCGGAGGTCCCCAGGCAGAGGCACTTGGTCACGTCTGCTGCAGGGGCAGTGAGCAGGGCCGGGCGGGGGCTCCCACCAGGCACAAGGCAGGTTTTCCCAGCGCCTGAGGGTGAGATTTGCCTCAGGAGCCACTGAGACACCCATTGGGCCTTGAACTTGGGTCCTGGTCCCAGCCGGCGCCTGGCTGCAGGAGGAGCCTGGGATTGGGCTCCAGGCGGCTGTCTCCCCGCATGGCCACCTTTAAGGCCTGGCCTGTGTTTGGCCAGCACTGGCCACGGGGGCAGGCAGGTAGGCGCTGGGCTCTGGACCCGGGAGAGCCTGCAAAGACAGCGGGCAGCCCCGAAGGGACCTGGGGAGCCCGATGCCAGCCTGCTCCTTCTCCTCTGCTGCCCGCTTCTGCTTCGCGCGCTGTCCTCTCTTCTGGAACCAACGCTCTAGGGCGGGCACTGATCCAGCCTCTTCCTCCCCACGGGCCCTCTCGGTGACCCTTACCGTGACAGGTGCCAGAGGTGGGGGGCGGCACGGGTGTCAGGTCTGCACCCACTCCCGTCACTGACTCAGTCCCCTCCCCTGCAGTTTCTTGGGGAATGGAATGGCATTTGTCGTTTTGAAACACTTGAACACAGTGGTGGCTTGGGCAGGCGTGCAGTTGGGATGGCTTCCTGGCATAAGGCCCTGCGCACCAGGGCGGGGACAGCATAGGCAGTGTCCTGCAGTGCAAGGGGGCTAGGCCAGCGGAAGCTTCCAGAAAGCCAGGACCGCTGAGACAGGTGAGGCGGAGCAGAGAGGTGCGACACAGATTTAAATCTCGAACTGGAGCGGGGAAGTTTCTGCGGGGTGCAGCGCGGCTGGGACAGGGAGGGCCGGGCGGGTGCTGGGCTGGGGTCCCCGTCGGGACCGATGAGGTCTGGCCCCCTCTGTGGCTTCAGTAGGTTTCTCGGTAGCAAATGCTTGCCGAGGCCCATCCTGTCCAGGCTCGGTACAGAGAGGAGCAAGGGCCAGCACCAGCTTGCGGGGTGCTCCTGGCCTTGGGACAAAGGTACCCCAGTGAGGAGGAGCGCACCAGGTGTCTGTGGGGAGGGCAGGGCCATCTCCAGGGCGACACCACCACCAGGAGCACAGAGCAGGGGCTGGTGTGACACGGGGCCATGGGCGTGTTTGCCCTGCTGAGAGCTGGCTGCCACGTGAGAGCCTCTCTGGTGACACGGCCTCCCGTCTCCAAGTGGCGCTTTTCTTCCTGTCTTTGTGGCGGTAGAACGCAGGCAACGTCGAACTAGCCATCTCGAGAACTTCCATTTTGTGAACTTCCGTGGTATTTAGGGCATTCGTGGTTTTACACAGTTATCACCTTGATGGTTCTCAAACATTTTTCTCACCTCAAGAGAAACCTCTTAAAAGAAAAAAAAAAGAGAAACCTCTTGTTGGGTGCAGTGGCCCATGCCTATAATCCTAGCTACACAGGAGGCTGAAGCAGGAGGATTGGAAGTTTGGGCAGCTTAGTGACTCAGCAAGACCCTGTCCCAAAAAATGGGCTGAGGTTGTAACTCAGTGCAATAACTGGGTTGAGTCCCCAGTACCATAGACACACACACACACACACACACACACACACCCACCCAAAAAGAAAGGAGCCAGGCATGGCGGCATACACCTGTAATCCCAGCACTCGGGAGGCTGAGGCAGGAGGATAGTTGTGAGTTCAAGACCAGCCTGGACTACAGAGTGAGCTCAAGGCCAGCCTGAACTGCGTACTGAGACCCTGTCTCCAAGACCAAAAGGAAAGGAAGAAGCTAAAAACCACCTCTTACTCATGAGCGATCACTTCCCCTTCCTCTTTCCTCTGCCTTTGTCTCTCCAGGTTGCTTGCTCCGAACACTTCGTATCAGTAGAATCACACGACTCTGTGGCCTTTGTGTCCAACCTCTTTCCCTTAGCATGGTGTGTTTAAGGCTCATCACGTAGCTTGGATCCAGCACTCCATCCCTGTTTATCTGTCTTATGGATAGGACTCATTTTATCTATTCAGTTAGTGGGCGTTTAGGTGGATTGATGCTTTTTAGATATTTGTTTCTCTTCTTAGCAGTAAACTCTTAAAAAAATTAGAAGCCCCGTCAGTCCAGGAAACCACTTGAGGAGGCAGCGTCCTCTGGTTGAAGACGGTGAGGGCCGGAGTCTGGCTTCTCAGTGAGGCCTACTTCGTCTGACACTTCTTCGCAGAATGCAGGGGTGTGGTAGTTTTCTCCTCTGCGCCAGAACTTTCTAGGGCTCCGTGGCTGGCAGGAGGCTGAGTCCCAGAGTCCTGTGGGTGAGGGGATCAGGCGGTTCCAGAAAGCGTGAGGGATAGGTTAGGGGAGGGAGGAGGCAGAGGCAGGAAGCCGAGCAGTGGCTGAGGGTGGGGGAAGTGCCTCAGGCTTGCAGCCTAGCTAGGTAGGGAGGGAGAGGCAGAGCATGTAAGGTTCCTGCGGCCGTGGGGAAGGCCAGGTGCTGGTGCCTCAGATTTGGGAGAGCTTCTAGCAGCCCTGGGCTTCACATTCCCCCCGTGCCAGCCCTCACACTGCCTGTGCTCCGCACTTTGGGGTGTTTCCCAGCCTCCACTGAGATGCAGCCCCCCTGCAAAACTGCTGCTTTAGTTACTTTTCTTGTTGCTGAGACACAATACCTGATGCCCAAAGTTAAGGGAGGAAAGGGTTATGTAGCTCACAGTTTGTAGAGGTTTCAGTCCCTAATCAGCTGGCTCCAGGGCAGGGTGGAATCACATAGGAGAAACGGTCTGTGGTGGGCAGAAGGTAGCAAAGCAACAAGGATCAAACACAGCTCTTTCTGTTATATTTCTGTTATATTTTACCCAAGGTACTCAGGGCAGGTAGCACTCACACCCTTAATCCTAGTGCCCTTGATCTTGGCATCGCACCATGAGTCAATCCAAGCGTCACATACTGTAGATCCAGCACCTCTGGAAAAAGCCCCACCTGTGACTGCATGAGGCTTTGGAGGATATCTAGACCTAAGCCATAACACTGCCCTTATGCTGCTGGGGAGATGGATAACGTCTCAGGAAACTGAGGTGGTTCCTCGCAACGTTAGAGTTATCATAAGGTCCAGAAATTCTACTGCTGTACACCCCAGAGAAATGGAGTCATTTTGAGTAGAAACTGTGCCGCAGAAATACGAGTGTTCACAGCAGCAGTATTCACGGCTCCCTGAAACTGTAAGCAAACAAACCTCTGCCTGCAGATGATGGCTAGGCACAGCGTGGTCCAGCCACACAGAGGAATAGTACTGGGCCCTGAACATCAGAGGAGTACTGGCACGTACTACCCCATGAGTGGGTCCTGGAAACATGGGAATTGAAAGAAGCCAGGCACGGAGGCCACCTATTGTAGGGTTCCATTGGTAGAAAATGTCCAGATTAGGTAAGACTCTACAGGCAGAAAGATCACTGTTTCCAGGGAGAGGGAAGAGCCTGCCCACAGGTGTGAGGTCTCTGGGGTAATGTACAATGTTCTGAGGTCAGGTCATGGATCGAATCGTGCACGATTGGCTGTCCATGGGGGTGAGTTCCACCTCTGTGCACTCAACCAGCTGCAGATGGAAAAAACGTGGAAAGAAAACTGCACCTCCGTAGAGTATGCGTAGACTCCTTCCCGCCGAAGTCCCTAGCAGCACAGCGTAGTGGTTGCAGCGGCCGTGCAGTCCTGGGGGATCTGACGGCCACAGGAGGTGACGGGGAACGCCGAGCTGCTTTGACTCAAGTTTTGCTAGCCACCGAGGGCTGTGGAACGTGATCTCTGCTCCGCTGAGGGGTGGCTGTAGCCCAAGGGGGTGGATTTATGGGGTGCGAGTTTCATCGCGGTTTTCAAACGCAGCCTCCCACCCTGAGAAGCACGGGGAAGCAGAGGTCTGCTCCTCGGGTGGAGGGTCTCAGGCCGCTTGCTCAGAGGGGCCCGGCCTGGAAAACAGGCAGGTGGCCGGGCTGGGAGGGTCCATCTAGGAACGGCCCACGCAGGACAGGTGTGACCAGGGACGTGCAGGATGGCTGTCCTGGGGCCCGGGGCCCAGGGGCTTGTGTCGGCTTGGCCTCAGTTATGTGAGGCCTTGAATGTCAGAGTCGGCCCTTGAGCCGGGCACCTGCGAGCAGGGGGACAGGCAGACCCCGGGATGGCTCTGGCCGGGGGTCTCGGGTCAGAAGCGGATGCCCTGCGCCCTGGGAGCTGGCGGGTGGGCTGGGATGAGGACGACGCGGTGCCCATGTGGCCCAGCAGTCAGCTGCTGCTGCCTCTGTCCCCACAGATCCTGGTGAAGACCATGATTCGGAAGCGCTCCTTCGGGAACCCGTTTGAGGGCAGCCGGCGGGAGGAGCGCTCGCTGTCGGCCCCAGGGAACCTGCTCCTGTGAGTGTCCCCTGTGCCCTCTGGTACCCCACACGTGGCACGTGGGAAATCGGTAGTCCTGGGGCCTGGGCGCCCCCACACCTCGTGGGGGCAGGTGGTCCGCACTCCACTTTTGCCGTGCTCAGGCCGGCTTTCCTCCGGGTCCCAGAAGCCGGGATGCCGCAGGGACTTTGAGGCCTTGTGAGGTGCTATGTTGGTAGTGGGGCCTCCGGCAGGGGCTCTGAAGCAGGAGTCGGGGTCTGCTGGCCTCGGGAGGGGTGGGCGCCCCACGGATCCCAAGGGTCCTTTCTCACTTACCTTTTCCCTCCCTCTGGCAATTCCAGCAAAAAACCACCCAGGGAGTGGGAGCCCCTGTCCGAGCCCAAGGTAACGCCTGCTGCCTGTGCCTGCCTCTGCCAAGGCTGGGGGCGGGCGCTGCAGAGCACGGGGCGGCTCTACCCGGCGCCCCCCAGCTGCCTCCAGCGTGGGGCTGAGACCAGGGGCGCCGGCCGGGGCTTGCCCGGGCGGCCATGCATGTGGGCCGGGGCTGCGGTGCATGGCGCTCCACCCGGAATGCCTGTGAACTCACCCAGGGCTTCAGACCCCTGGCGCCGCGCCCTCAGTGAGCGGAGGCGGCGCGGGAGCTCGGTTGCGGGCCGCGGAGCTGCCTGTCCTCGGCACCTCTTCCCTAGGGCTGCCCAGCGTCCACCTTGGTTCAGACTTAGAAAGTGCAGAAAGTGCGCTCCCGCTGGGGGCTCCAGGCAGTCGTTTCCATTGTTAAAAACAGATTTATTAGCTGGGCTGGTGGCTCTCGCCTGTAATCCCACCACTGGGGAGGTTGAGGCAGGAGGATCACTGAGTTCAAGGTCAGCTAAGATCTTGTCTTAAAAAACCAAGATAAATAACAAAAATGTTAAAAGCCGTACGCAGAGCTGGTGGTACAGCCCCGTGGTAGAGCACTTGCGCAGCATGCGTGAGGCCCCGGGCTCCTCCCCAGCACCCCGCTGACCGTATTGAGGGGGGTGCGCGCACCGCACAGCGTGCCACTTAGTGTGCAGTCGGTGGCTTTTCCTGTGGCAGTTACGCAGCCGGCGCCACACTCAGTTTTAGAACAGAGGCATCAGCCCCCGAGAAAACCCCGCGTCTCTGAGCTGTCCCCGCCCCCTCATTCCCCAGCAGCCGCTCTCCTGCTTTCAGTTTTCCATGGGTCTTCCCATTCTGGACGTTGGCTGTAAAAGGAGCCACAGAGCCCGTGGCCTTGTGTCCCTGGCTTCTTTCACCAAGCGTCGTGTTTTCAAGGTTCACCCGCAGCCCGCTGCCGCGTGGAGCAGCGCTTCGTTCCCTCTTTGAGTAATACTGTTGCGCAGGCAGCCACCCCTTGTGTGTCCATTTACCCACTGACGGACACCCTTCCGCTCCCGGCTGTCACAAAGGCAGAGCGCGCTGAACGTTTGTATTCCGCAGGAGTTGGCTTAGGAGAGGAAATTCACTGGCCACCTGTCCCCTAGGGACCAGAGGCTGATCTGGTCATTGGGGAGCCCTTGTCTGAGAACTGCTCATGCTTTTGAGAGAAGCCCTGCTCTCTGGAGCAAGGCAGGAAGCCACCAGCAATAGCAATTGGGCCCAGGCTCCAGCTGCCTCCAAAAGCTGCCCAGTCTCCCCCGCCCTGCCCCGTCTCAGTTTGATGACCAGGTTTGAGGCTGCCTGAGGCACAGAGCGAGGGAGAGCGGCGGGCTTTCCTTCCCCTGGCCCGTGCGTGCGTGCGCGTGCACTTTTTCACTCCCGGCAGGGGCTGCTGGAACTGGGGCCGCCTCCAGCTGGCTCAGGTCTGTTGTGTGCCTCTTATTTCAATGAGGTGAAAATCACCAGGCCTGTGGACACAGCAACAGTGGGGTTCCCTGCCTGTGGCCCAGCGGGGATGCCTGGTCCAGGAGCCCAGGGAGCTTGGCCGGGCCTGGGGCGCTCAGCCCAAGGCTGCTGTCTGTGGTGAGGCCACCCCTGACGTGGCGTGTGCACAGCGCTCTCCTCCTCGAGGCCTGTACCTGCGCTGGTCATCAGAACCAGCAGCCGGTGACTGTGGCTTGCAGACAGAGGGCTTCTTCCTGGGGCTGCAGACACTGCGATTCCCCTGCCCCTATGTAGGGACTCGGACACTCAGGCTGTGGTTAGGAATGGTGGACGGCAGCCCGAGGGACAGGCCTGGCCACTCTCCTGCTAGGACAGACTGCCAGAGTCCCCTGCCCACCTCCTGATCCCCCTTCTACAGTTGTCACCAAGCCGTGACCGGAGAGACCCCTCAGGGCCACAGGGACTCATCCTCCCGCTTCTTGCCCTCCCAGCGCACTTCCTGATGGTAAACTGGGAAGGCCCTGCCACTGCCACCCCCAGGGCTCACCAGGGACACTGATGGCAGGTGTCACCCTCCTGCCCCGCAAGGGCTCACAGCCTACAGGGGCGGAGAGCCAGACTCCAGGTTGCCCCTTCCTGCGATGGCGCGGTAGTTTCGGGGTTGCACCCATGGCTGGCGCCTCACGGTTCCTGTGGACAGAGGGCATGAACAAAAGGGAGAGAGCGTCTGAGAGCACCGGGGAAGGTGGGCACATCGGGTGGCGCCGTTGGCATGCCCAGGCGCAGGTGCCTGCAGCGGGAGACAGCTGGGGGCCTGGCGTCCTTTCCCCAAGTCTTAATGCCCGTTTTCTGTTCACTGAGCAGGAAGCAAAGCAGCGAAGACAGCCTGCGGGGTCCCGACCCGGCCCCCGTGGGGGAGGAAGAGGAGGTGCTGTTGTGAGAGGTGGGCCCTGTGTGGAGAGCTGGGGGGCTGCGGCCGCCGGTGCCCCCACCCGCATGCGTCGGCTGCAGCCCGAGGAGGCCATGGAGCCGGAGTAGCCGCCTGGACGTCCGACCTCGCATGTGGCCGTGTGGCCCGCGGCTCGGGCTGCTGCACCGCGTTTCCATGGCAGCATGTCCTACGGAAACCGAGCACGCGTGTAGAGCCTTGGCCGCCATCTCTGGTTCTGTGCTTTTTCTTTTTTCCTTTGTTGTCTTAAAGGGGACAAAAAAAAGACTTAACTCCATGATGTCGACCTAGACTTACCCGCTGGCCGGACCGGTGGGTGTGAGGAGCTGCGGACCCAAATCCATGTGCATTCTGGGACAGTTGCTTTTTAAAACATTTTTATGCCCCAAATCCTTCATCGTGAACTCAGAATCGCGTCAGATGTACCGAGCGAGTGTGTGTGCGGTGTGAACACAGGGAAGGAGGCAGAGCTCTGGCGGCCGTGGCTGCGGAAGGCGGCCCTGCAACTGGCCAGGGAGAGGGCGGCTCGAGCCCTGCGGCCCTGGCGGCCCTTCCTAGCCCACGAGGCCCAAGCCTGTGCCTGCAGCTGCCAGGAGCTGGATGCAACTTCATTTGCAAGCAGGACTTTTAAATTTTTTATGGTAGAATGTAGTCAGGAAAATGGGAAGGGCTTGACATTTAATTGCTTCTCGAGGGGGATTTTCCACCCTAGAAAAGCACTCAGCAGCCGTCGCGGGAGGAGGTTTCCCTGGAGGACGTCACCTGCGCACAGTGGGTTCCTGAGGTCGTCGGCGGAGCGCTAGTAAATCTCTGTTCAGTTAGGAAAATTTCAGGGTGAAATCCTACACTTCCATGTACATTACATGGCTTAAGAGTCACCAAAAAAATAATTTGAATTCTCTAACAAGACTGAACTCTGGAGAGTTCAGAAGTTATTAGAGCTCCCAGGTTTCCGCCAAGCTGTGGAGACAGAGCCGATGAACCCCGCAGCTGAGCTTGCTCACAGCCTGTGTGTTGCAGAGACTGCTTAGGTCTCCTCTGCATCCTAAGTACTGGCCGGTGTGCAGGCGAGGAAGTGCCACCCAGCTCCCGGTGCACCTCGTGGGAAATGCTCTTTTCTGGCTGAGATCGTGATGATGGTCCTCAGCTCAGATAAACTTGGTGGGACCATGTGGTGTCATCAGGACACCCTGTTAGGGGTGACTGTTGATACCCAGAGCACTCCTCAGGGCACAGGGGAGCCAGGGGCGGCACTGGATGGTCCCTTCTGTAGTCAGAAGTCCAGAAAGCAAACACTGACCCTTTCGACTTAGAGCTGCCCATGAGAGACTGCTCTGGCGGATTCTGACCTCCGCTTCCCAGTGCTCTGGGGGGATCTAGTCTGTACCTGGGCTCAGAGGACCTTCTAAGGTGTCTGAGGCCTGTTCCCCCTGGTCAGCCATTCATAGGACCCGGATGTTGTTGGCTTCTGTAGATTTTCCTCAGCTCTTGAGTGTAGTTTAGTCAGACCTTTCTTGCTGTCACATAAGGAGATAGAATTAGGGTGTGCTGGTTCTGAAGAGCAAAGACCGGGGTCCGGGGAAAGTTGCTTTGCCTGCTTGCTTTGTCTTTGTAGCCCAGTGCTTCCTCTTGCTGTCCCTATTTAAATTTATGGGGAAGTGGTCCAGTAGTTCCACCCCTTCTGGTAGCAGGTGGGGCTGCGGGAGTTTGCAGTAAGCACCTGGAAGTGGTGAAGGCCGACGGTCCTTAGGCCCAGCCCCAGCCTGCATGTGGACTTGGGCCTGGCTGAGTCGGCCCCCTGAGGCAGGCAGGCCGCGTGCAGGGTGCTGCAGAACTGCAGGGTTTACGAGACCGAGTGGGCAGTGCCGTCTCTCCCTGCCATCTGGATGTCCACGGGGACGCCAGCAGTCGCAGAGCTCCCAGCTGTTGGGGCAGGCTGGTTAGGGGAGGTCCATGTGGATAACTTTTCCTTTTTTAAACAAAGGAACACCAAAGAAAGCTAAGGAAAGGAACTGCCTGGCCCCATGGAACGCCTAAGTAAGCACAGCTGTCGCTAAAGCATTAGCGCCAGCACTTCTGGAGCACAAAAAGCCAACTCTGCCAGGAAGGGCAAAGCTGTTGACAGCTTTTCTGGCTGGGCAGAGAGGGCGCCCACACCTCCTTCCGGGCTGGCTCTGCCGTGGGGCCAGCATGGTGGGAGGGGCTGCAGCCGGTGCCTGCGGCCCGAGGGAAGCACAAATCTTCCACTTTCCCCTCTGCCCTTTCTACCCGCCCGTCCATCCACAGGTCGCCAGCCCTCTCAAACCTTACCGAGCGCCTGGTTGGCATCTGGGCTGCAGAAGCCGCCTGCCTGAGGCCCGGCCTCTCCAGGCGAGGAGAAGGCTGTGCAGGCGGATGGGCCCGGCCCACGGCTCTCCCCCGTCGGAGGCGCCCAGGCCGCCGCTGGCCGAGCCGGGATGTCCGCCTGCTCCCAAGGTGCTATGGATGGTCTCCAGGTCGTTGGCTCCCGTCCTTTCTCCAGATTCGTGGGACTTTTGCCTTTTCTCTTATGTGATCAGTCCGATGCCCCATGATGCCTCTGTTCTATCCCTGATCCTTCTACTATGCATTTCCCTTTACCAGGTGTATAGAGTTAAATACTGTGTATTTATCACTTACGAGTACGTGAACTTACGAGAAAGATAAGCCTTTGATGTTTTTCCACAGGTGATTAAGCTTCTCTGTAAACTTGAAATAAACACACAGCAAAATGGTGCAAGCCTGGGCTGCTGGGAGTTGTTCTGGTGTTTATCGCATTCCTGGGTCCTTGCGTCTGTTTTCTGTTTTCTGTCCTTGGTGGAGAGCAGGTCAGGTGCCCCAGGTGAGGCCAGTGCAGTTAGCGGTCCTGATTAGGGCCTGTCTTGGTGTGCCACTGCTCGGTGTGACCCAGAGACGAGCAGTATCACCCACACCGGGCAGAATGCGCGTGCCAGGCCCCGTGTGGACCCACTCCGGGTGCCTGTGACGCTCGGAAGCGCTGCTCTGGCAGCAGGTGAGGTAAGCCCGCCTGTGGGCCAGGCTGGCTGTGTGACCTCCACCCCAGGACAGTGTCAATCCTCCCCAGCACAGAAGTCAGCTCCCTAGGGGCTTGGCTTTGTTAGCAAAGCACCCAGACTGGAGTGTCCTGGCCCTGCCTCACCCATCTGGGTGCTGCTCTAAGGCAGCACCCCAGGGCTCGATGCATTTGAACTTGGTTTATTTTCTTCCTTTCCTTTCCCATTCCTTTCTTTTTTTGTAGCCCTGGCTGGCCTTGAACTCTCCAGTGATCCTCCTGCCTCAGCCTCCGGGGTGCTGGGCTTACATGTGTGCACCACCCTGTCTGGCTCTGTGTAATTCAGGCTGGCCTTACATTCACTAGGTAGCCCAGGTCAGCCTCGAACCCAGTGATTCTCTTGCCTCAGCCTTGAAAGTGCTGAGATTACAGGCGTGCAGCACCTTGCCTGGTTCGGGGCGGCTGGATGCAGCCGGCCACATCCACCGTGCCGAGGCTGACAGCTTCCCCCTTTAGGGCCTTAGAGGCGGCCAGGACGCAAGAGGGCGCCGCCCGATGCAAGGTGACATCGTGAGTGCGGTTAGCAGTGCCAGGCACCTGGCCTCACCCAGCTGACCTTCATACTGCATTCTGGAAAAGGGGGCCTAAGGCCTCCTGCCCCAGCACAGCCCCCAGCCTGCGCGAGCAAACCCTTGGCCTCAGGCTGCGCCGCTGTGCGGAGCGGCTCCGGAGCGGCTCCGGGAGGCGTGACCTGCAGAGAGCGGCCACTCCCCGCCGGCTTCCGAGGCTGGGCACATCCGGGAGCTGGCTTTGCTTCCGGGTGGGCGGGGCCGGGCGCAAACTCCCCCCGTCCTCCGCGCCCAGCGAGGGGTGGAGCCGGCGCTTCCCGCGGAGCCCGTGGGCCGCAGCCCCACCCCGTTCCCAGCCCGCGCGGGCCTGGCCACCTCACGGGTGCCGCCCGGAGCTCCCGCCCCGCTCCCGCTTGTCCCCAGCAGTGCGTTTGGGGGGTGCAGCCAGACCGCATCCGCATCCGCGCCCTCCGTGAAGCAGAGCTGTGCCGAGAGCATCCTGTAAACCGCACCCGCCAAGCAAGAGCCCGGGCGGGCGTCCCCGCGGCAGCGGGAGCGGTCAGTGCGCGCGGGCCGGGCCGCCGCGCCTGCCCGGGGTCTCACAGCCGTGCGAGCCGTCCGAGCTGCGCCTCACGCCTGTGCCAAGACAAGCGCAGGGTCCTGCCTTGGATGCAGGCTTCCGGAGAGCGGCTAAGCCGCTAAAACGTGTCACCTGAGCAACGCTGTCATTCTACCTAAGAGCGCCAGCGCAGGCAAGATCCACTAGAGGAAAAATCACGTCCTCCAAAGGGACAACCTAATGAAGGTCCAACTGTTCAGGTTTTTAAGGGATGAAAACAGAAAAAAAGCCAAAGATTCAGACGCAGACGGTTTCTAGACCTTTTTTTTTTTTTTTGAGACAGGGTCTCGTGTAGTTCAGGCAGGCCTTGAGCTCACTTTGTAGCCCAGGCTGGCTTCGAACTCACAGTGACCCTCCTGCCACAGCCTCCCGAGTGCTGGGATTACAGGCGTGCGCCACCATGCCCAGCTTAAGACCTTTTTCTGGGCACAGTGAGCTGAATGAAAAATTTTCAACCTAAGATACTAACAGAGAGAGGTGCTTCGAACAAAAGGGTTGGTTCAGGGTCACAGACAGATGGCACCCCAGGCTGTGTGTCACACATAGGTGGGCACATCCGGGGAAGCTGAGGCCTGGGGTTACTTTGTTGCTTTTTGTTTTATTCTTGGTATGTCATTCAGGCTGACCTTAAATTCCCTACATAGCCCAGGCTGGCCTTGAACTCACAGTGACCCTCCTGCCACAGCCTCCCGAGTGCTGGGATTATAGACAAGTGCCACCACGCCTGGCATTGATGGCGGCGAAGCTGCATAAAGAGAGGGAAGGCAAGTCCTAGCACACGTGAGACACCACAGGTGAGGGATAAGAAAAATCGTCTGTTTTACTGTTTGGTCCTCAGTAATCTCAACATAGCTGCCCTCAAGAGAGAAATGCTAGTCCCGCCTCCGGATGGGGAGGGCCGTGCCCCTGGTTGGGGTGGGAAGGAACAGCAGCTGGGCCTGCTACACATCTGCTACACCCAGGAGGCTCTCCTTTCCTGTCCTCTATAGTTTTCTGAGACAAGGTCTCGCTACTTTGGCCTTGAACTGTCGGAAAGCCTCCTGCCTCAGCCTCCTGAGGGCTGTGCACCACCACACTTGGGTTCCCTTTCCTTACAAGGTGCTTGAACTGGGTTGCTGTGCGTCAGAAGCCTGGACCTGTCCTGAGGGCGCAGCCTGAGCTTCCTGAGGAGAGGCAGCCCCATGAGCTGCAGCAGTGTCGCTGCTGCCCGGGGCCGGCCTCTGCCGGAGACGTCCTGGAGAGGCGGCCCAGCTGACGACAACGTGACCCTGCGCTGGGGGAAATGGGCCTCTGCGCAGAACGCGGCAGCTGCTGGGCCACCTTGAGTCCTTGTGGAGACTGAGCCCAACCCGGGACATTCCTGGGTGACACAGCAGCCGTCTCGCCTTGCTTTCCTGCGTGTCCGTGAGGCCGTGGGAGCCTGGCGTGGGCAGGCGTCACTGCTCTGCGTCCCCAGCAAGACCCTGCAAGGAGGACAAGCGGGTGAGTGTGCACAGGGCACGGCGCGGGCGGGGCCGGGTGCTTTCCTGAGCCCTTGGGGGTGGGTCCCACGCGCAGCGCCCAGCCCTCTTGTTAGGGAGGCTCAACTTCAGCACTGTGTGGACGCAGCTTTGGTTCTAACACCTGCTGTTATAACCCATTCAAGATGTGGCTAATGAACAAAGCCTCCCCTTCTCCCCGTACTGGGGAGGGGACCCAGGGCAACGTGCGCGGCAGGGAAATGCTCTACCGCTGCGCTCCAGCCCAGACCGGTTTTATTTCAGTGTGAGACATGTGACGTGGAAGGACAGTGGCCTAGAACTTGGGATGCTCCTGCCTCAGCCTCCCAAGTAGCTGGGATGATAGGTGTGCACCAGTGTGGCCGGCTCAAAGCTAGGTTTTTAGAAAGAGTCCATGTAAAGAACAGGGCTCTAGAGATGGCGCAGATGCCGAGGTGGCATGCGACTGCCTGGGCGATGGGCGAACACGCAGCAGCTGGCACAGAGGCGTCTCTGCCCTGGCACCAGAGCCACCGGGACGCCCTGCCTGCCGGGAGCACAGCGGCGCCTACCTGCTCGTAGTCTTCCACGAACTTGTACTTCTTCTCCCGGTAGTAGTATCTCTTCTTCATGCAGTAGAGGACGATGACGTCGCACAGCACGGTCGCCTGCAGGAAGGAGCGGGGTGCGCTGGGCTCCCGCTGACCGCCCGGCCCCTCCTCTGGAATCCCAGGGTCCTCGCTGGGGGCGAAGGGGGCCCAAGGGGCCTGACCTCGCAGGAGGGAGGCTGAGGGGGCCCGGGGCCAGGAGCGCAGCACTCACCACGCCCAGCAGCGCCAGCCCTGAGCCCACGTTGATCATGGTGGGGATGACGTCAAATTTCCCAGCCTGCAGGCAACAGGACGGAAACCAAGCTCTGAGCCGGGGGCACGGCGGGCATAGGCAGGGAGCGGCCCTGCAGGGCCGGGAGGAGGGCTAGCGGGTCGCAGGCACGGCCACCTTTCCGAACACGATGACGTCGAAGCGGATGCCGTAGGCCTTGATGAGCGTGCGCTGCTCCTGGCCGGCAAGGTCCCTGTAGTACTTGGCGAACCTGGGGACGGGATGGTGGGTTAGAGGGGCAGGGACAGCTGGGGTAGGGCGGCTCGGGTGGGGTGTTGTGGCAGGTCCCAGCTAGGGCCTCGGTGGTGGGGGTGGTGTGCTCCCGAGGGACCCCAACTCGCCCCCTCCTGCAAGACGGCTCAAGCCAAACCTCTGGCGCCAAATGTCCCTCCCATGACAGCTGAGCCACCTGCCTCCAAAGGGACCCCGCTGCTACGGGGAACATGGCCGTGTGGCCAGCGGTGCTGCCGGCGGGGGACGGAGCCTGCCACGAAACAGTGCCAGCTTCTGATCTTTTTTGTTTTTGAAATAAAATTTTTAAAAATCCAGATCCAGCTGAGCGTGGTGGTCTGTGCCTGTAATCCCAGCACTCTGGGAGGCTGAGGCAGGAGGGTTGCACTGAATTCCAGGGCAGCCTGGATTCCATGGTGAGTTCAAGGCCAGTGTGAACAACATAGCAAGACTCTGTCTCAAACAAATTTTAAAAAGCGTTGGGGATATGGGTCAGTGCAAAGGCTCTGGGTTCAATCCCCAGTACTATAAAAAAACAGAAAAGAAATACTGAATTCTGTACTTTAATAGGCGAGTTGCATAGCAGTGAACTGTGGTTTAATCAGCCCTAGAACGAAAGCACAGCCGGACCGCGGGCGGGGGAGAATCACACACCCGCGGCTGTGCTGGAGCTGCCTGCTTCTAACCCCACTCGGGTCCAGGCCTGGGAGGCACAGGCGCGTGGCTGTGGGCTCCCACTCAGGCCCGGGGGCACCTCGAGGGCTCTACAAGGACCGGATGCCGGTGGAGACGGAGCGATACGACCTCACTCCTAGAAGGAAATTCAGATACTGTGCTGCGCCCCGACCAACGGCTCAGGACAGCAGGCCCTGCAGCGGTTTCTTGCAATGCCAAATATCACCACTAGAGGGAGACAAGGGCAACAAGAAGCCGGTGGACCGGCTCCGTGGAGTGGGAAAGTGTAGCTGAAAATGTCATGAGCTCTGAGTTTTGCGGCTCCTGCCCGTCAGATTGCAGCTCTCCTGAACCGAGCGCTGCCCACTATCCGTGTCCGTCCAGGACCTGTGAGGGTGACCTTGTTTGGAATAGGGTCTTTGCAGACAGAGTTGAGGTGAGGTCGTACCGGATTAGGGTGTCCCCTAAATCCAATGTCCGCTTACGACAAAAGACTTTCCAGCCAGGCAAGAGGGCACATGCCTATAATCCCTGCAGTCTGCGAGGCTGAGGCAGGAGGATTGCAAGTTTGAGCCCTGACTGGGCAAGTTAATAAGTAAGACTCTGTCTCAAAATAGATTTTTTTTCCCAAAATAAATTAAAAAATAAAAAGGCTAGAAGGAGATCAGGGCAACACAAAGCACTGTTGACTCAGGTGCCTGTTTTTGGGAGTAGCACAGGCCTGGGGTTCAAACCCCAGTACCGCAAAGACACACAGGTGCGGAGGGAGGAGAGGCGTGTGTTGGCAAATGTGGACACTGCAGCGGCAGGGCCAAGCCAAGGGCGTGATCCCTGTACTCCGGGAGGCTGAGGCAGGACCATACGTTCGAGCCAAGCCTGGTCCATTTAGCCACTTAGTAAGTTCCTGTCTCAAAAAATAAGAAGAGCCGGGGATGGCGTTCAGTGCAATGCAGCTCAGTGCAAAGGCCTTGAATCCAATCCCCTGTATCAAGGTTTGTTTTCTGTTTTCTATTTTTTGAGACAGTCTTGCTCTGCAGCCCAGACTGGCCTTGAACTCACAGTGATCCTCCTGCCTCAGCCTCCTGAGTGCTGGGATTACAGGTGAGCACCCCTGCGCCCACCACAACACCTTTCTTGTAGCAGGAAGGGCGAGGAGGCAGGCATGGGAGCCAGCCCTGCACCGCTTGGGAATCACCAGCCGCCCTCGCCCTCCACTCCTCCTGGGGGCCTGGCTCCGCCCACCTGAAGTTGTAGCCTGGGGACACGTTGTGGTCAGCGTCCCGCGTGTCCAGGCGCCGGAAGGAGTAGCGGGGCAGGCAGAGGGCGGCGGCCCGGTCCAGGTTGCAGTCCCAGTTCACCTGGATGCCCATGATGCCGCCCTGCGGGACAGGTGGGGGACACGTCGGGCTCAAGGTGCAGCCGGAGGGGCCCGGGGCGCGTGACAACAGCCGGGCCTGTGCCCACCTCCATGGCCATGTCCTGGAAGCTGTGGCCCGCGCTCTCCACGACGTGGCCCAGACGGAAGATGGGGCAGAAGGGGTCCGTGCGAGCGTCGTACACGCAGGACTTGAGGTAGGCGGTGGAGATGTTGGGCAGGATGTTCCTCCTGGGAGCCGGGACGTCAGCGCCACGCCCCCTCCTTCTGCACCTCCTCCCACGGCCTCCTCCCAACGGGGCCGGGCGTGTCCCCGGGGCATCCGCGCCCGCGCAGCCGCAGCCACTCACTTGCTGAAGTTGAACTTCGGATACCAGATGTTATTCTTAACCAAAAGCGTGAAGTTTTCTGCAGCCTTCAAAAAGGCAGGTCTGAAAAAAAATGGTAAGCTGTTGTTGGAGAAAGTACAGACATAAACACGTCTGTCTGTCCACCGCAAGCCCTGATGCGCTCACCTTGGCACGCGAGAATCATCCTCCACGGGGCACCAGGACGCCACCTCGCAGGTCTTCACCGATGCGTTGAATGGCACGCATCTCCCAGTCTGGACCCCTGCAGGGGAAGGGGCCGCAGGTCCACAGGGCCCCTCCTTTCTACCTTTGTGGGTGAGCCCCTCCTACCCAGCCGCCCATGCTGCCAATCTTTTCTTTTTTTTTGAGACAAGGTCTCGCTATGCAGTCCAGGCTGGCCTTGAGCTCACTTTGTAGCCCAGGCTGGCCTCGAACTCACGACAATCCTCCTGCCTCAGCCTCCCGAGTGCTGGGATTACAGGCGTGCACCACCTCGCCCTGCTTATGCTGCCAATCTTGAACGATCCCAGTTCTGGGATTTAGACGGTGCCCAGGAACTGGGACCAGAGAGGGTTCCCTGAATGGCAGCCACACCTCTGCTTTGCAACGCCAGTCCCCAGGGAGCCCAAGTCACAGAATGGAGTAAGGTCTGGTGCTCACACAACAGAGGTGAATGTAGAGAAGGTGCTAGGTGCTGCTCCACCTCCATTGGTGATCAAATCCAGTACCTTCACATTGAGCTACATCCCCAGTCTTTATTTTATTTTGGGACAAGGTCTTGGTAAGCCACTGAGTTGCCCGGGCTGGGCTCAAACTTGCCATCCTCCTGCCTCAGCCTCCCAGAGTGCTCCGATTAGAGGTGTGTGTCACCACGCCAAGCTTCTAGGGTCTTTCTTTTGATACCAGCTTCACCCAGGGTGGCAGAGCTTCACTAGGGACCTGGGAAGATTTTTCTCCCTCGTGCTGGGGACTGAGCCCGAGGCCTTAAGCTCGCTGAGCACACGCTCTACCGCTGTGCCTTTCAGCCGGGCCTCCTCGTCCCTGAGGTCCGCATCGGCGATGCCCGCCAGGGGGCGCCGTCTGTCCCGGGCCCGCCCGCCCGGACCCCTACCGTTGCTGTGGGTGCCCGCGGAGCCCGCCGTGCAATTGGCGTCCGATTCACACCCGGTGGTCTGGTCGGGAATCTGGAAGCAGGAGGAGCGAGGAGGATTTCCTCCGGGTCCCGCCGGGGTGGAGGGCCGGGGACCAGGCCTGAGGCGCCACCTACCTCGGGACAGGTGCCCTGGGTCTGGTTCACGGTGATGATCATGTTGGTCATGACGAAGATCGAGTTTTCCTCCTGAGGGGGAAAGAGGGGACAGGGCCCTGCTGGGTCCCCTCCGCGCTGCCTCGGGGTTCTGGGGGGCACTGTGCTTCTAAAACATGAGACTGAAATATGCCTAAAAGTGACCCGCTAAGGTAAGCAATGAAAGACAAGGACTCCAAAAGTTTCTTTCCTTTTTTTTTGAGACAGGGTCTCGCTGTGTAGTTCAGGCTGGCCTTGAGCTCACTTTGTAGCCCAGGCTGGTCTTGAACTTGCAATAATCCTCCTGCCTCAGCCTCCCGGGTGCTGGGATTACAGGCGTGTGCCACCACGCCCGGCCTTAATAACCATTTTTTAAAAAGTTTCTAGTTGGATCCATCATCACCACAGGTTGCAGGTGTTGTAGTCTAACTAATTACAATTAGTATCAAGATGAGGCTGAGGGCACTCTCCCACCAGCTGCATCCCTGCCCGTTTTATTTTTACTTGGAGACAGTCCCGGAAGTCCAAAGGGCGAGGCTGTACCTCGGGACCACGCAGCCAGCCACCTGTGCATCCCTGCTGTCCCGAGCTTCTCCGCCCTGCCCTGTCACACCCTTCTCTAGAGAAGGAAAGGAAGGCACACCTTGTCTCACACCTCCCAGCGAGGAGTTCACGCTTTTCTAAATCTGGCTGTCACAAGCACTGAGCACTCAGCTATCTGCTGGGGCCTTTGGGGCCCTGGCCACACGGGGCAGTTAATAAGTCAGTGCTATGGGGTGCGGAGTGGTGCACGCCTGTAACCCCTGCACTCCTGGAGGCTGAGGAAGGAGGATTGCTGAGACTTCAAGGCCAGCCTGGGCTACACAGTGAGACTGTCTCAAAAACAAAACAAAACAAAAAAAGCAAGCAAGCAAGAAAAAGGGTCAATGTTTAACCAGCAGCTTTGTGGGTGCAGCTCAGTGCAGAGCACTTGCCTGGAATGCGTGAGGCCTGGGTCTGATCACCTACGCCAAAAACCCCCAAAACCAAAAACGACGCAAACGTTAACCTGCAGCTTTGTGGCTTCACACGCCTCGACTTGAGGGCCGCGTCAAGCAGTTCCTCCCTCTGCCTTTGCCCCTGAGGGAGGCGGGGCTGTTCCCGCCTGGCCTGGCCTGGGTCTCTAACGGCTGTGAGGGTTCTACGCCACCTGCCCAGGTTTACCTTGTGGGTGTCGGACAGAAAGCAAATACGAAGGGTGGAAAGGTGCCACGTCCGCCTGGACTCTGCCCAGGACTCGAGACGTGTGGCTTCCCGACCTCGGGAGACTGGGGCAGGCGGAGATGCCCACGTGGGAGGGCCCTTGCGGGCTGCCCGGCCGCGGCCACGGGGCGTGACAGGCTGGAGCGGAAGCCGAGAGAGCCGGCCGCTCTGCTCACGCGCCAGGCCCGGCGCGGGAAGGTGGCTCTGTGGCCCGGGTCATGGCGCGAGGGGCAGAGCTGGGAAAGAGGCCTCCACAGGGTCCGAGGCCGGGGGAGGACACACCTGCGCAGGGATCACGTAGTCGGCCACGTCCCAGATCCGGAACCCGAGCTGAGAAGTGTTGGTCACGGCCACGCCTTTGGCCTTGGTTGTGACGGAGCTGACCACGGAGTCCCGCTCCTGGTAGCCCTTCTCCCACACGAACACCCACCTGCAAGCACAGCGGGCTCCTCAGGGGCTGCGGGACGCAGCGGGCCGGCGACCGCCAGGGAGGAGGCGGAGAGCGCGTTCACTGACAGCGTGGTGTCACCTGAGATGCTTTTCTGCGATGAGACCGGGCAAACCCACCGCACAGCGCGAGGTGCGACGCCCACCTCCTCCTTGGGGGACCTTCGTGGACCCCATCTGATGACAGTCTGATTAAAGATTTCACTGGGCGTGGTGGCACATGCCTATCATCCCAGCACTCGGGAAGCTGAGGCAGGAGAATCACCACGAGGATGAGGCCAGCCTGGGCGACATAGTAAGTTCAAAGCCAGCCTGCACTACACAGGGAGACCCTGTCTCAAGAAACAAAGCAAAACAAAAACAATCACAACAATAAAAAAGGGAAGATGGGAAAGATAACAGCAACACAGGACTGTTGCCAGACTACATGAGTTGATGAGTGTTAGATGCTGAGAACAGTGTTTCAGCTTATGATTACTAGAATGAAACTGGCCAGTAAAACAATCAAAACGGCTCCCTATTTCAGAGCTGTCCTTAAACATCTATCAGCGCTGGGCACAGAGGAGCACGCCTGTAATCCTAGCACTCAGAAGGCTGAGGCAGGAGGATCACCTCAAGTTCAAGGCAGGCTGGGATACACAATGAGGTCAGGGTCAGCCTGTCTCCAAAAACAAAACAAAAACAATAACAAAACTATTATTTCTGGAGCCAACGAATATCCCATCTCCTCTCCTTTTAATTCCCATGAGCTCAGACTTCAGAAATTCGCTGGTTTGGGTTGCTTGTTTATGGGTTTGTTGATTTAGGCAATCCCAAGCTCACTGTCCAGCCTGCAGGTAGGCTCCTCCTTCCCCAGGTCCTCTTCTGCAGGGCTTCTGAAAATTCAGCCACAATAAAGCCTCTAATTCATTCCAGTCTGACACAGAGGCGTTCAGGGACAGGAAGGCCGCTATTAATCTGCCACTGAGTACAGCGAGTTGCTAAAGCAAAGACCGACAGTGTGACAGCCCTCACTATCATGTGATGATTTCCTCATCGCCGTCACATGACTGATAGGCTGCGATGGGAATCAGTTCAGTCTCTTTTGAAGACCAGTTGTTGTATGGAGAGGAGACCACAGTTTCAGTCTGGTGAACTGGATCAGGAAATTATGCAACAAGTTGGGTTTTTTTGTTTGGTTCGTTTTTTAAAGACAGGGTCTAGCCTGGCCTTAAACTATGTAGCCTCAGCTGGCCTTGAACTTGCAGATACTCCTGCCTCAGCCTGCCAAGAGTTGGGATAACACGCATGTGCCACTACACCCAGCCTGAGGGAGTTTCGATTGTAGCAAGATGTATATAAGCAAAGCACTACTGCTTTAAAAATCCCCACGATCAGGAAACCTAGAACCCAATAGAAATCCTTAAGCCCAGTTGAAATACAATGGTATTTTGCAGTCCACATGTGTAATTGAATAGTTTCTAGTAACCATGTTAAAAACTAAAGACACATAGGCTGGTTGTGGTGGTGCATGCCTGTAATCCTAGCACTCAGGAGGCTGAGGCAGGAGGATTGTTGCAAGTTTGAGACCAGCCTGCGCTACAAAGTGAGCTCAAGGCCAGCCTGAACTGTGTAGTGAGACCCTGTCTCAAAAAGACAAACAAAAGACCAACCAAACAAAAAAACCCCTAAAGACACAGGAAAACTGATTCTTTTCAAGAAAACTGATTTGAATGATATATTTTATGCAATCCAAAATATCCACAATACATTAACACGGCATCAATAAAAAAGGTACTGATGTGGTATTGTACTCTTTTTGTACTGTGTCTTCAAAATCTAGTGTACATCTTACAGACAGAGTGCCTCTCCGTTTGTGGTACAGCAGCTCAAGTGTCCAACAGCCACGTGTGACCTGGCCAGCATAAGGCACAACACAGCCGGAGACTCCTTCCGCAGCCCAGACCCTGAGGGTTCTCTAAGGTGGGTGTCAACTCCTCCCAGGGAACCAGAGCCGGAGCGGACGCTGCGTGAGAGCTGCCGACCCAAAGGCTTCACTCCACGCGGGGCTGCGGGTCCGCCAAGCAGCCCCGGCTGGTCTCGGGATTGAGGAGCGCGGCAGCACGCCTGTGAGCCGAGCAGCGTCCAACTACCTCGCCTGGAGCTTCCTGAGCCCCGTCCTGGGGACCTGCCAGCCGGTTGACGTTGAACCCACAAGTGGATCTTTTGTTTTGTTTTCTAGTGCGGGAGATGGAACCTAGGCCCTCACGCCTGCTGACCACATCCACCCCTGAGCGCCATCTGGAAAGGACACCTTTCCCGCCGCACCTGCTGCCGCCGGCCGCGGACCATGCGAGTCCCCTCGGGCAGCGCTCGCACCGAGCCCCACCCCAGGAGCGAGCTCCGCCACTGCTCGTGCCGCGCAGGGGTCGCGATCAGGTGCGTTGGCAGAACCCCGGGTCACCGACCCGCACTCCGCCACGCCGCAAATCACCGGGGCGGCGGGTCACGCTCTAGGGCGCGGGAATGGGGAGGGCGCCCAGGGCCACTGCGCGCTGCAGATTCCCGCTCGGGTCCCCGGTGGCCGAGGCACCACTCCCTCTCCTGCGCGGTAGGGCATCGGAACGGCGCACCCCGCACTCGCACCCCCGACGCCCCGCGGTCCTGGGTCGCCGCCTGCGGCCCAGCCCGCTGCTCGAGGAAAAAGACGGGGGCCAAGGCCCGAGGGCGCCCAGCGGAAACCGCAAGCCCGGGCGGGTCGGCCGCCCATCATCCTGGGACGCGAGGAGGGGCGGCTGAGGCGCGCAGGCCAGGCGCACCCCTCGCCCGGCCAAAGGCATCGGCGAGTCGCCGGGAGGCAGGGTAACGAGGAGAGCGCGTGGACCGCGCAGCCGGCTCTGCCCTTGAAACGCGGCGCCACCCGCCGGGGGTCGCAGCCCTGACCCAGCGCGCAGGCG